AGTTGTTTGGACAGAACTGTGTGTAGGTATAGTGTGTCCACAGTCATGTTGGAGTGATAGAAACACAATAAGTCTCTCTTTTTTTTAAAATTTCCTGATGTTAAAACAGGATCCAAATCCCTCCAATTTTTTTATGTTTCGCAACTTGACATGAGTGGGATTGGTGGGCGTGGAGAGCTAGCATTAAAGGCACAAGCCACAAAAACAGCTACATGAATGTTCAGAGCAGAAAATACAAACTTCTGAAAGGTATAATAAATAATGTGATGGGTGTTTTAAATTGAAACTTTACACACACATTCTGGAGACACAAAAGACGTATCTTAAATCTTGAAAAAGCAGTAAAATTGGTGCCCTTTAAATTATGTCAGAATTCAAATTCTGAAATTAATTCATACAATATTTGCCCACCCCTAACCCTACCCCTTATTGCGGGATGAGCAAATCATACTAAAATATGAATGAGATTGTACAAATTAGCCACTTTTCTTATTGCAATTGTCTCATGCTCCGATCTGTTTGCCAGATGAGCAAGACATCAATATGAGGGTTCTTCAAACTATACGGCATGAACGTATCAAGGTAAAGCAGAATCGTTTGTTTGAGGCTCAGTTGTCTTTCATTTTTAGACAGAAAAAGAATAAAACCTCTCTCTATCTTTCTTCAGTACAGTGTTCCTGTGGTGAAGTATGACAGAAATGGATTTAAACCCAGGCAAAGGCAACTTATTCTCACTCAGGCTGCTGCTCATCTGGTAGAAGAAGCGAAGATCAAACAGAGAGTGGACTATGTTTCTCTGAAAGGTGGGTCTGAAACATCCTTTTATCATTTCTCTGTGGCATGCAGCACCATGTGTTCAAAAAATCTCTCCGTTAAACAGAAAAAGGGGGGGAAAATAAACAGGGGGGCTAATAAATCTAATTTCAACTTTATATATGTAGAAACTGCTATGGTCAATATTATTAACCCCCTTATTAGCCCCCACAGAACCAACCACTGTAGTCCAATGCCTTGCCTAGTTAACCTAATTAACTTTAAGCCTTTAAATTGAACTTGAATACTAGTTTCTTGCTAAATAACTGATTTGTGGAAATAACAAAAACATTAGGTATTACAACTGACAGGTTTATTATAGAAATACTGTTTGTTAAACTGCACCTTGAAAAATAATTGTAATATATATTTTAAATATCTAAAAATTGTCTTTATTGTCACCTTATATCAATAAAATCCATCATAGCTAAAGAAATATATATATATATATATATATATATATATATATATATATATATATATATATATATATATATATATATATATACTTTAAAAAAATCAGTTACAATTTATTTTAAGATGTGTGATTATTATACTTTAGTTATACTAATTACTCTTAATTACCCACATGTACCTACACAAGGATTAATGTAATACCCTACCAGACAAAAGTTTGAGGTCGTTTTTTTAAAGAAAATTATTCTGTTTATATTTATAATAATCATTTATCATAATTTATTAAATGTAAATTTTTAATTGTTAAATACTTACTGATTAAATATTTGTTTATTACTTATTGTATGTATTTTCGCATGAAATTGTTAGTCAAGTCATTATTGCTTTAATTAATATTACCATTAATAATAATAATAATATTAATAATAATAATAATAGGCGAAGCAGGGGCGCAGTAGGTAGTGCTGTCACCTCACAGCAAGAAGGTCGCTGGTTCGAGCCTCACCTCAGTTGGCGTTTCTGTGTGGAGTTTGCATGTTCTCTCTCCGTTCGCGTGGGTTTCCTCCGGGTGCTCCGGTTTCCCCCACAGTCCAAAGACGTGCGGTACAGGTGAATTGGGTAGGCTAAATTGTCCGTAGTGTAGAAGTGTGTTTGTGTGGATGTACCCAGAGATGGGTTGCGGCTGGAAGGGCATCCACTGCTTAAAAACTTGCTGCATAAGTAGGCGGTTCATTCCGCTGTGGCGACCCCGGAATAATAAAGGGACTAAGCTGACAAGAAAATAAATGAATGAATAAATGAATGAATGAATACTACTACTACTAATAATAATAATTAATATTAGAGTGATTTCTGAAGAATCTTGTGACTCTGACTGGGGTAATGAATCTGGAACTTCATCATTAAAATCACTGTAATAAATAATTAAATTAAATTGTAAACTGTATTTTAACAGTTATTTTATAGTGCAATAACATTTCACAATTTTACTATTTGTACTGTATTTTCGATGAAATAAATGCAGCCTTGATGAGCAGGACAACCTCATTTTAAAACATTTAAAAATTCTACTGACCCCAAACTTTTGACCGGTAGATTATATATAAACTTTTTTTAAACTAAACCCAAACTTCTGAAAGGCAGTGTACCTGCTTTAAAACAGATTTGACAATTAGAGAGAATTAACATGATTTTGTGTTCACAGGTGCTTCTGTCAGTAATCTGGGCGACTCTGTGATGATCCTCCACGTTGCCTTCAATGATCCAAAACAGAAGGTGAACAAACCAGGATTCACAATAGCACTATACTCGCTACGTCGTAGCCAATAGGCTGCATGTCAGCTCCAAACTGTTTCACGGGTGCCACATTACACAATTTCATGCATAATTTGCGAGAACTAAAGTAGTTTCCTTTGTACAAGGGGGACTTGGTGCTTCAGTGTGACCATCTGTTTGAAGCTTTGACTAAGCTGGCGATGATTGCAAACAAGCAGAATAACATCACTGTTGTTCAGGGAAGGTAAATAAATAAACAAACACATTTCCAACCTGAGATGTGATGTTTTATTGCTGTGAAACATTAACATCTGATCTTTCCGCAGCATAAAGTTTGAGATCCAGGCGGGAAAACAGAATGCAGTGGACTTCAGCACTGGCCAAGAGCCCATGATTTATAAAGGCCCAAATGGACACCTGATGGTGGTGAGTGATTTAGTTTTGTATTTGTACTTGATTTAATATTATCGTTCCTATTCTTACACTATTTCATTATCAAAGGTGGCTCCACGGATCAAGTCACGATGATCTGAAGGAGGTCAGCAAGTCTGTGTATATTTCATGAGGGAAACCCTTATGGAAGAGGATATCTTTCTTCAACCCCCTATAAGGCAACACACACACATGACCAGTTTGGTATCTTTGCGGGGACTTTTAAAACTGTGAAATATTTATATATAAACCCCTTACAGGGAACATTCTGCATTTTTACATTTTGAAAGGACTTATTTTCTGTATGACGCATACAGTGTTCAGCATATATGAGTGCACCCCTCACTAATTTATCTTTTAAATTCATATTTTTAATTGGAAGCTAATATTATATTTGTGCAAATACTGTACATTAGATTAGTCAGTACTGAAGCCAAATCTAGAGCTTATCTTGCAAAATAACTTACGATAATGGTCCAAAAATTAGTACACCCAAATTTAAAAGGTTATAGAAAATATTAAATACAAATTAAAAAAATAAGAAAAATCAAGAGAAAAAAAATTGAAAAATTAAGTTGAAATTTTGTAGTTTTTTTTTTTTTGGCAATATTTTGCTTGACTTTAATTGTATTATCTTTTAATTTCTAAATTTGTTTGTTGACTAGAGAATTATCTTAATAAATATATCTGTTTAATAAATCTGTTTTGTTTAAATCCACCAAAATACATTGCAGGGTTTCTGATGGTTTTACCAAGTTAAATTTAGACATTTTAAAGTCTATTATGAATGAAATTTTAGACTTATACAGGGCTAAATGCTATTTTTTTTTTCAAAATATCCCAGTTGAAAAAGATTTTTACTTCACCTTTGAAAAAAAAAAAATCATTATTATAACCAAAGTGATTATAACGTAATAATGCAATTATTATAATACAAAATAAAAAAGGTAGTCTGTTTTCAGTAAAATGAAAATTCAAATATACTTAAATTAAAAAAGAGATTTAAAAAAAAAATCTAGAAATGTTAAGATATCCTTCAGTTTCATTTGGCTTAGCCCCTTTATTCATCCGAGGTCGCCACAGCGGAATGAACCGCCAACTTATCCAGCATATGTTTTACGTGGCGGATGCCTTTCTAGTCGCTACCCATCACTGGTAAACACATATAATATAAAACCTGTGAGTGCCGTCAGAAATTTCCTTTGGAAATGAGCATTATTTTCAGCCTCCTTTGTTTATGTTGAGTTATTTCAGTTTGAATGCAATGAAAAGAACTTAATCTTTGCCATAAAATGGAAATTACTGAACCTACACACAGGAGCCTAATAAAAATGCTCATTTTAGAAGAAAAATTCTGACGGCATTTAGAGGTTTTTGCATCTAAACTCTTCATACATACTCATTCACACACAAACACTGTGGACAATTTAGTCTTTGGACTGTGGGGAAACCGGAGCACTCATAGAAAACCCACGTAAACATGGGGAGAACATGCAAACTCCTTACAAAACTGCCAACTGACCCAGCCGGGTCTCGAACCAGCGTCCTTCTTGTTGTGAGGTGATCGTGCTAAACAACCACCATGATGCCTTTTAAGACTTTTTAAGGCCTAAAATTTATCTCTTGAGATTTAAGACATTTTAAGACTCCTGGAACTAAAACGTGCTTTTTAAGAAATGGATAAAATATTCATTTTCAAAATGGGGTGTACTCAATTACGCTGAGCACTGTATAAGCATAAAGACCTCAATTTATATTCCCATGTAGACAAGTTCCCATAAGTCTGAGTGAGTTCAGTAATAAGTCCCCATCGGGATATAAAACCAAGACCACACACACAATCACTAAGAGCTTGTTGTAAAAAATAGAAAAAGAGTAGTAACTAATTTTATTTAAGTGGTTAAAGCAACTATTTTAGTTTTCATAAATGCTGCCTGTAGCTTAAACTTTTGACATTTCTTGTTAAGTGTTTTTTTGTTTTGTTGTTAAGCCATATTTATATGATTATTTATAATATATTGTTTATACAAACCTCAGAAATAAAAACAAAGATCCAGTTTCAACTACGAAATTTGTAGAAACCTTTATTCGTGATAACAACATTGTGTATAAATACTTTGTACGTAAAACATTTTTTAAATTTATGTGCACAACTGTACAAACTTCTCTACAGTATTACAGATTTCAGAGTTGTTGTTTTATGTTGAATACACCTTTAATAAAACTAACGAGCGCAAAGATCTGTGATGCTACAGACGCTGCAGCAGGAGGCTTTCTTTATGTTCCTGAACGTCTGGAGCTGCTTTGACGTGGAAGAGTCTCTGATTACGCACTCATACTTGGTGTCCATTACTCAGTTACAGATATACATCCGAATGCTTCTGACTACATCTCAGTTTCTGCTCTTGTATGAGATCGCTTACAAAACACGTAATTAACTTGATGGAATTTAATACAGTGCAGCGGAAAGGTATTTAAAAAGCGTCATCAGAGTTTACTCTGGTTGTAGACCAAAAAGGGAATAGAAAACTTTATTACTGGTTTTGATCTACAAGTGCTTCCTCATGTACGTGAGAAAACAGCATAACACTATACTGCCACCTAGAGGCCAAACTCATCCAATCAATCTAGCAATTTGAAAAAAATAAAAGTGACAGTTCACACAAATGGGAGTTTGCTGTCATTTTACTCATCTTAGACTCACGAAGATGTAGGCCCCCTCCCCTCATTTTTTTTAGTACAGCATTTTTAGCTGAAACCATAGTGGTCTACAACTGCTGAGACTTGAGTCTTGAAATTATTTTCTTGCACAGACCAATTGTTTCACATCAGAGAGCAGGGGTTCTCAAACTCAGTGCTGGAGATTTTAGCTCCAACTTGCCTCAACACAGCTGCAAGGATGTTTCTAGAAAGCCCATAGGTCTCAAACTTATTCCTGGGGGGCCGCAGCTCTGCAGAATTAGCTGAAACCTTGATCAAACACAGCTGATCCAACGAATAATGGTGTTCATCTTTTGAACACCTTGATTATATGGATCAGCTGTGTTTGATAGAGTTGAAGCAAAACTGTGCAGACCTGCGGCCCCCCAGGAACTGAGTTTGAGGAACTATGGCCTAGTAAGAGCTTGATTAGTTAGCGCAGGTGTGTTTGATTGGGGTTGGCGCTAACAGGACTGAAATTGAGAACCGCTGTCACAGAGCCTCAATGGAGCTACAACTATTTAAATACAAAAAAAAGTGTTCATCCAAAAATAATTATTTACTCAGTCAAATTGTTTCAAACCTACAAGTTTCCTTATTCTGTTAAACACAAAAAACAAATATATGTATAAAAACAATACTACAAACTTAACTATTGACTTGCATAGTAGGAAAATCAAATACTATAGAAGTCAATGGTCACAGGTCTCCAGCATTTTTAAAGTAACTTATTTTGTGTTCCACAGAAAAGAAAAGAGAAACAAACACATTTGTGCAAACTGAATGTTGAGTAAATGATATGAAATGTGGATGAGTTTGTTTTGGGTGAACTATCTCTGAGAACTACCTTTATTTTTGTTTTGCCTCTTTTTCGACTATTAGCCTATTAGATTTGTTGCTAAAATTGGTCCTTGGTGACTCAAAAATAATATGAATCTCAAAAATGTTAAATTAAAAAAGTCCCCGACAATTTAGGCGGCCTAATGGGGAGTAAATTATAGAAAATGTCAAATTTCAGTTGAATGCATTTTCGCTTTGCCTCTTTTTTGAATATTAGCCTCGACTATTATTGTAGGGGACAACAATTCAACTTTTTAAGATTCATATTACTTTTGAGTCACCAAGGACTAGTTTTAGCAACAAATCTAATAGTCTATATTAGATTTGTTGCAAAAACTGGTCCTTGGTGACTTAAAGGTAATATGAATCTCAAAAATGTTAAATTAAAAAAGTCCCATACAATTTAGGCAGCCTAATGGGGAGTTAATTACAGAAAATGTTAACTTTTGGTTGAATGCATTTTTGTTTTGCCTCTTTTTCGACTATTAGCCTATTAGAGTTGTTGCTAAAACTGGTCATTGGTGACTCAAAAGTAATATGAATCTCAAAAATGTTGATTTAAAAAGGCCCCTACAATTTAGATGGACTAATGGTGAGTAAACTAACAGAAAAAATTACATTTGGTTGAACGTCCAAAAAAAAAAAAAAAAAAACGACACTTAAATTATTCTTATAAGGCAACAACATCCTCCTTCATTGAATTCAATGATCAGTGGTCTGTCGAACCACTTTTTCAAAACAGCTTAAAATCAAAACAAAACTCAGCAAGACACTACCAGCTCTGTAACACTGGCTTCAACCCTTCAATTCAAAAGACAAAGCTAACAATAAACTGGGGATAAACTTAGAAAAAGAAGTCTCAAATCAAATTACCATCACGCAATATGCAAAACAAAAACACTCAATAAGCACAGTGTTCACCTATAAGGCACCAGAAACCCTACTGACTTCACTCAGACAGAACAAAAGTTCAATTATTGCTAAATAAACATACAAGGGCTGAGAACTCTATTCTAATATTCAATAGCTGCACGTTCAGCTGATGGACTTGACTTTGGAATTTGCTTTATGAATGGCAAATAGGGCAAAATGCTCAGGGAATGTCATGCAGTAAACCTAACCATCCGCTATGCACTTTTGTTCACATTAACACCATGTCGTATCTTTTTAAAGAGGTCCTCAAAAATGCACAACTGATGAGTGACTTGATTGCCCCGTATGCCATGTTCATGCAGCGTTATTAATACTACTAGCTATTCTGTGAATATCCCTTCATCTCTCTAAGGAAGCAGACTAGGTATAAACATAACTGACTGAGTCCATGTGCAAATCGAGAGGCGTAACTGAAGCGCTGGTAGTTGAAAAGGCACTGAAAAAGCTGAGAAATGGCAGGGTCACTGATGGTGGTGGGTACGGTCATCGGGCCGCTTGATATGGATCCTCCGCACTCGGTCATGGCGCTCTCTCTCTTCATCTTCATCGATGTGGTGGGATCGACCGGCAGCGCCCCCTGTGGCCTCCAGCAGTGCATTGTCTGGTCCGCGTCCGTCTTGAGACTCGTACAGCAAGATGTTGAGGGTCTCTTCATAAATGCGAGCCTCTGGGAATTCAACCTATGATGCAGATGGCATTGAAATAGCTAAGTGGCACTTTTAAGACAACGTTACAATCTTTTAGATGGCAGATTTTCTTTTCAGATCATTAATAAAAACAAGTTTATATGTTGATTATTGAAGGTACATTTTAGAACCGAATAGAAAAAAAAAAAATTCTTTGGATGTAAATCTCTTGCATATATACAATAAATTGAACTGGTAACAAATCTTTTGTCAAAATTTTAAAATGTTTCAGCTTGTTTTTACTACAGACCATTTTGAGGGATGTAAACAACAACAACAATGGTCCTAACATATTTCCTGTTTAACATTTTTAATTTCCATAGCTTTCAAGAATCCAAAAAGATCCATATATTGATAAATAATGTTATGATAGCAGTTTTAACATTAAGGCTTTTTTTTTTAAATTTAAGGCTTACTGTTAAAATTATGAAATAGTTTGACAACAAGCAGAAAATGTTCATGGGCCAATGACATCACCACATTAAAATATGTCCAATGGGTTTCAATGAAGTTTAACCCTTTATAGGGCACTCATTGGAGAAACCCTGAAGCATTACTACACTCTAAAAATGACATATGCTGTTTTATTTAAATGACCTATTTAAAAAGACCCCAAACAACACAATTTGAGAATTTTTGGGGGACAACTTAATTCTTTCATGTACAATCCAATTAAATTTGCGAAAACGAATAAGTTAACTTAATTCTTTCATGTTGTTCCAACACAAATTGATTTGTTTTACATCCAAAAATATTTACAGTGAACAAAACATTTGAATTTTTATGATTTTAAACATCTTATTGTAGTCAACATCAGTGAAGATACCACTAGACTATGGAAAAACTTCTCTCAAATCTAATCTTTTAAAAACACTACAAAAAACGTGAAGTTTTTTTAATTCAATTTTGTTTTCCAGTGATTTTTTTTTAAGTCATGCTTTAAAAATACAGCTGATGATTGACTGGATTATAGCCATCATTCTGTACCTTTGTCTGCTTCTTTTCAGTAGCATAGACTATTGACGTGCAGCAAACCTCTGCAATTTTCCTGCCCTGGCCATAGAACGACCAGCAACAAATCTCATCACCAATCACATCCTTGATGAAAAGCACACGGCCGTTGAACCTCAGTGACAGCTTGTCAAACAGCTCGATATTCTTCAGCATGTTGTCATCAGAATTGCTTTAAAGAGAAAGAGCAAATTGATCAGGTAAAAGCTTTCTTCCTGAAACCAAGTAAGAAATTCCCTTTATTTTACCTTGTATATGAATATTTATTGTTGCTTCTGTTATACAGCAGCTTGACTGTAGGCTGTGAAAACACAGAAAGAAGGTTCAAGATTCTGTGCAGGGTGACAGTGAATAGTATTGAGACTGACATGACTGTGAAGCATTTGTACCTTATTAGCAGTGGCAATGAGCCTCTGTTCTTCCTTAGATGATGTCACCAGGGGAACTTTACAGAATGGCTCATATGCATCTTTGTTCTGGAAACATTTGGGTAAATAAAACGGAGAAACATTTTTTTAAGTACACAATTCTGTCATTTACTCACTCGTGTTACAATTGCTGGAGACAATCCATTCATTAGAAAATAAAAAATATTTTATTAGGAATGGCTAATATGAAAAATGTTATCACAATATAAAGGATCACATATCCTGATAAAGTACTTTTTATATAAATTCCATCAATTAAAAGTTTATATATTGACCACATGGAAAAGGTGGATTTTTTTAACATTTTAATCGATATACTTTTTTCTCACTTTATTTAGAATTTATAGGCAAATGTTTAAGATTGTACAAATATAAAATACATTAAAAGGACAGTTCATCCCAACATTTTAATTCTGTCGTTATTTATTCACAACTTTCAAACATGCGTTCCTTTCTTTTGTTGAACACAAAAGATAAGTTGAAAAATGTTTGAAACTTGTAACCAATGACTTCTATAACATCTTCTTTGTTACTATGGAAGTCAATGGTTCCCAGTTATCAGCTTTCTTCAAAATGTCTTCTTTTGTGTTCAACAATATAAAAAAGAAACACAAAGGGTTGTAGAGTGACTAAACTGTGAGTACATTTCAATTTGATCTCTTTGATGAAAAATAAAATCCTTTTTAAAAACTAATCATACGAGTCTATCATACAATATTGCTAAATAAAATGCAAAATACTGTATTGTAACATGTTGTTATTCGCATTTCTACTTGCAGAGCCAATTCACCATGGTGGGTGTAAGATTGAGGTCATCCAAATGATGAAAGTATTACCATTAACAAGGCATTTTAAATTACATCCAAATAGAGCATAATATGAAATGATAGACTTCATTTTCATAGATCATATTGCAGAGCTCTTTATATTATCACAAATATTATCTCATTGAAAATTTGACATGTGATCATAATTAGCAAAAACAAGCATGCTATAGAGTGTCCTTATTTATGTCTTTGGCCTCTGTTGTGTTTATATTTTATTCAAGCTACACCAAAGTTCATTTGTAAGTGTACTGAGACACATCTTTTCAGGAGTCATGCTTATATAGAGTGCACCAAGATTTGGATGGCAGCATTCACACAGTGAACCATTCCAGAATTAGTTTTAAGCAAACTAAACAATCAAGTGTGAACCAACCTAAAGGTTTTGTTTAAGATACAGTGTTTCCTCTAGGATTTTTTCCAGCTGTGACAGCAGGCCTTTTTTTTTTTTTACACAGATCTACTAACTACCTGTGGCATTATTATTTCAGTGACAAATGTCGTGAGCGCAGCGTTAGAAGTCGGGATCACATTTATGTAATAGCCTACGAGCATGCGAATCTCTGTGCTTGCGAGCCGATTTCCTCTGTTCGTGCACAAAACTTCTTGCACGTCCCCTCAAATATAAGATGCTTCAAGAGCGCGTAGATCTTCATGTGTGCTCTCAAGCAAACACTGCTGGGAGCGATTTAGTGCGTTTATGTAACGAGTATGTCTCCAGCATTTATTAGATTTGCTAGGAATATTTATGAATGTATCCATTAGACCTACAGAGTAGCATTAATGCATCCTGAAGTAAAGTAAAACGGATAAACGTCGTGTTTGCTAGCCTCACGCATCACGCACTTGTCAGTCAGTCAGTCAGTCAGCACGTCACCTTAAAGGGTAAATAAATGACGCAAAGCACTACTACTGTCACAGAAAAGTTTGCGCTATTATAATTCACTTCTACTTTAATACATTTTGGTGCGATTATTACCCGTTATTAAAAAAATAAAATGTCTTGAATGAGAAGCTATAATGTAGCCGTGGCGGGATGAATTTTGGCATGGCGCACTGCCACGGAAGAATGAATGTAGCGGAAACCATGAGATAAACAAACAACTTTGGAAAGTTTAAATGAGTTGTGGGTTAGCAAATTTAAAGTCAATTTTCATTTTTGTTGTGTGTACTTTACCTGCAATGCTGCTTGACACTCATCTACCAGGCCCTGCACTAGGTAATACTTTGCCTCTGCCAGCAACTCCTCAGTTTCCCTCCGGCTCTCAGGTAAGGGGACGACTCCATCTCTCAGGTAATTCAGGATGGTCCCAAAGTGCTTCCCACACCTGTCAATCAGAATCCAGCCTAGAGGAAGATTAGATGTAGAAAGTGTGACCAGGATGTTGCAGAAGCACACATTTGGTTCATTAAACACCTTTTTTCAGGAGCTATAACAGTTCACCTACCTTCGCTATCAGTGAGGACCTCCATACGGCCACTGAACATGGCCTTTAGCATGGTGTCCTGCTTGGTCAGGGTCTGCATGGTGGTGTAATACAGCGCTCCACCGACATTCAGCTTCACATATTTGGAACTGGGACTGGACCCCTTAAAAGAGGTGGTCCGTGTTGTAGCTGCCGGCACAGCCGAGCTCACAACACTTTCTCCTGACATCTCTTCCTGGAATCAGACAGAGTTGGGAACGGTGACTAGGAGGTTTGGAATAATACAGGCCATACATAAACTACAGAATACACAACTTTTCTCAGGAAATCAATGACGCATTGATCTGACAACAGATTATTCTTTAAAGCATACCTGTCAACCCTCCTGTTTTTCCAAGGATTCTCCAGTATTTTACACTTCTATCCCGCTATCATCCCGTAAAGGTATTTTTCCCATATTTCTCCCTTTTTTTCAATCTTTCTATGAAGGATGGCAATAAACATTTAATAGCCAATCCTCCCTTTACACAACCCATACCACTGAACCACCAGGGGACACCCCTTGCTCTTAAATGTCAATCTGTTTTGTGCTTTTATTTTATTTAGGCATGAAAACACTTTGAAATAAATATAAAAATGGCAGGATTCCCTTCCTTTCCATTACAAGCGCCGTCGCCCCTCCTATGCAGTCCTCAAAACAAGACTGTCAGATGATAAATAGACACTGTTCCTTAAACGGATTCTGTACTATTCAAAAGTGAACACTCTGGGTTTTGGGTGCATGTTTGTACATACATATACACATATAATAATAATAATAATAACATCTCTAAACATGTCGATCTTGGTGGGTTTTATTTTTAAACACAACAAATTTTGTACTTAACGAGCATTCAAAGTTAGGAAAGCAGTCGAATATATAGTATATATCTCATTATAGTTCTGTGCATTTTTAAAGTGACACCTCTGTTATTTAATGTGATCCATCTAAACGATACATTTATTCGCTGCTCATTAATCAGAATGTTAGAAGTCATACATAAGTCATACAGTGAGGAAAAGATTAATGAGATTTAATACCTTGATTCAAACTGCAGCTTTTTCTAATGCATCCTATTTACTTTATCCTTTGTAAATAATAACGTTCATAACGTTACCACTCCCTATATATTTCAGTATAACACAGTAACTAACATTGTAACAGTAACATCATTGTTTGTAAAACATTACAATTGTAAAACAATAATGACAACAGCTCTCACCGAATGAGAAACCCAGTCCGACGCACAGTTGCGATTAATTTAATGACGTCACGTTAAAATATGCTGGGATGCTTTTGTATAAACACAGGGACTCGATTAATTTTAGTTTGTATGTGTAAATGATTCATAATTGAATATGAAGAGGGAAAATCGTGTAATTTAAAATGACACAGGAAAAAGATTACTAAAAGAGCTAACGTTAAACTAGCACACCAGCTTGTTCTCTTTTCTCATGAAACAAAAACGCAATTACTACGAAAAGGCTAAAAACTAAACGCCGAAATGATGAGGAATGGAAAAATGTGTCAACAGAAGCGAGTAAACATTGAGAAACATGAGAAAAATGTCAGTATTTACCATAGAAATTCCCCGATTCTTTCGGGCCTCCTGAAACGGGACTGGATTAGATCACTTCCGGTCGCAACCCCGACTCGTGCACGATGCTGCAGGTCACGCGCTTAGAGGCTACTCAGGCAAATGCGAGATCGCGCATTTCATTAGAATACAGCATATATATATATAACCCTAATGTCCTTTAATTTTTTAATTTCTTGTGATTGTAACTACACATTTAGTTGTAAAAAATATATTTCTGCATTTTATATAAATACATGTATTTTAAGAGGTAATATCTCAATAATTTACCTGTATTTCATGTAATCGGTTCTGCGATGGTCACAAATCACATACCATAGCTAATTGTTTAAGTGCTTTGATTTTGTTGGTCTAACGGTATTATTGTTAAGGTTGTTGTTATTATTATTATTTATTTAACAATGTTATCAATTCGTTAATTGTGTTCATCCACTCACGAGCTCCCTACTGATCTCTTCCAACATTCACAGTTTATGTTTTTCTCTTTGAGGTCAAAGTTAATTAAAAGCAATGAAAAAGTCGTCTTATTAAGATACATATTCTAAATTATACTAACTCCATTACAATCTAATTGTTAACCATTAACGGTCTATTTTTATTTTAATAGGTGGTAAATGTGTATTCCCCTATGATATATAATGTTTATTTGACCCGAAGACATACTGTATCACAAATAGTTCCGCTTAGTGGAATATCCCAGCTCCCTGCAATTCTAAACCTCGGGTTGTTCATTAAAATACGTAATGTAGTATCGTGTCAATAACAAAATAACTTAAATGTATTACGACAAATTTAATTTGTATATATTCAATATTTATTTAATATGTATTGTGTGAATGTGGATTGTCGTAACAAAAAAAATGTTCCGTCGGAAGGTTTACGAGGTTACACCGTTAATGGATTAGAGCTGCGGTGTCTGGGTCGCTCTTTTGTTTACATCAGTTTTCCTTTTATTCTCAAACGCTCAGGTAAATGAAACATCTGTGAAAACCTTTAATACTTTCTTCGCTTTTCATCTGAAACACGTTAATTAGGTGACAACATTTCCACAGCGTTGCCAGCTCGTTGGATTTTTCAACTGTGTTTGTGTTTGCTAGCAGGAAAGCTAGTGTGAATGTTATGATCCCCTTCGGTTTGTCTAATTGACTTGAACATATTGTTGTTGAAATATTCTGCTAATTTAAACTTGCTAACATATTTAATGTTCATGTTGTTTCCGTAGAGTGCTCGTTTTGTCGTGTAATCAAGTTGTCACCTCTGTTATGAGTAAACGTTAAGAGCTCTATTCTGGTTTGGAGTGATAATGAGGTCAGATATATTTGTTTTTATTTCACTTTCTGCTTTGTGATTTGTTGGTGTGTTTAAAGCTGATGTATTTGATTAATACGCCCCATACTTTTCATCCCCAGAATAATTTTAGTAATCAGATTAGGATAAATGTAATACTACAGCTCACTTATTGAGGTAAAGTTGGTTTTATATTCACACCTTCGAGATTTCTCCTTAATAATGTAATTTTAGAAAAATATTCTTTGCAAATTCTAAATAGGGAAATCATATTAGTACCCAATAACTATCAAAACACAACATTGTTCACAGTCAATTAAATAGGGCTAATGTTGTCTTAAAGTCATTCTTGCATGCAATTTCAGACCGGACATTGTCACAAGTTATCAATGACTGAATGTGCAATTATAAAACCAACTTTACCTTAATAGCTCACTAATGTGTCTAAATAAGTGGATATAGGCATGGGCTAGTATGAGATTCAAACGGTATGAAGATATGGATAAAAACATCAAAGTTTTACGGTATCATGATATTGTGATTGTTAAATGTCTGGGTTAAAAACAGCAACATAGCCCCACCCCCATATTAAACACAATTCATTTTTATTTTAAGAAACATTTTAAATATTTTGGAATAGTAAACATGTCAGACTAAAAGAGATGCTCCGATCAGGATTTTTCCAGCTGATACAGAGTACCGATACCTTGCATTGGTGATTGGTCCATACCGAGTACCAGTTCTGATACTTCAAGGTTCATATAACTGCACCATTGCATAAAGTACCTTTTCCATCCAAGTGTGATACTAAGGTGGAGCTTCTCCTAACCTAAGAGAACCTAAATAATCCCTTAAGCATGTCTCTTATAACAATTTAGTGTGGACACGTCTACATGATCAGAAGCAGCTTTACGAAAAATAGTACATAACAGATTTGTGAGATAAAAAATGCACACCTATAAATCCATTACTTCTTTACTAAAACAAAGCAGGTCTATTCTGCTTGTTGCAATAAATATATTACAAGGAGCAAAAGTTTGTATTTCTTTAATATTTTCAGCCAGGTTTTAATGAACTTGCAATATTTCGAGAACCAATGAAGTCATGAAATGTGATTATTGGCTGATACCAATGTCAGGCCAATTGATCGGAGCATTTCTACAGACAAAGTAATTAAAATAAATTATTGACTTCTGCTGTCTTCATTATTTTCAAAAACACAGATGTCTTTACAACTCGAAAATGCATCTTTATATCTTCTTTCTTTTCTTTGGATATAAGGTATAACCACTGCACTGTTTAGGTCCATACTTGGTAGTTGGTGCATATGTTTTCTGAATCGTGGGCTGACCATTAACTTTTGATGCAGAAGGTCTTTTCTGCTGGAGATACTGTTGCCCTAAAAAAAAAAGTCATAAAAAAACTTATTAATACTGTAGGAATATAAATCCCTAAAACCTTGACCAAGCCAAGGTAAACATTGAAGCCGGTTATCGTCCCATGCCTAAATGGATAATTTGTGCTGTCAATAGTCTCAATTTCATTCATAAATAAAATATCTCTAAAACAATTGGTCTTCTGTTCTGTAGAGTCTGTCGGACCTCCAGTAAAACATGTGTAAATATGTGATGGTATTCATGTGACCTGTGGAAGCAAAAGGGAAAGTCAAATAAGGGCAAGGTAATTGTTTGTTTTTAGATAAGCTAGAATTCTTTAAATTTGCAAATGAGATGCATTCATTTCATTTTAATTGTATTATATAAATCAATTTAAATTACTCTTATGTACTTGGATGTATAGCCTCTAACTTTGTTTCTGCTCTAAAGTGTTGTTTAGAGTTTTGTTCTCAGCTGTCATGCTTTAATGTTTAATCCACAGTTTGGAGTGAAAACATGTTCACCGCCACCCAAACATCCAAAACCCAGTTCCTGGATAAAGCCAGGGTAGCACGGGAGGAAAGAAAAGGTCATAAGGAAAAAGAAAGAGCTGCCACACAAATCCAGGCTCTGGTCAGAAGGTTTCTCTGCCGCTGCAGGCTGCAAAAAGAAATCAGGTTAGTGCCAAAGTCAGCTGTTCTTTATGATATTTAAAGCTCTCTAGAGACAGTAATATATTATTGCACATGTAATTAAATGAGGATAATTAAATGTGAAAACAGTGTGTTTTTTTTTTATTCGGTTTGCTTGTTGTTTTCAACATAATAATGTAAACAGAATTGCATTGTGTTTTATTCATACTTTGAAATAAGCTTCATTGTAACCACTGATCTCTAATAGAGGACATTCTATATGGATCAGTGCTTGTAACACTTTACAAAAAGATTTTATTTGTTAACATTAGTTAACTGCCTTAGTAAATGCTATCAGCTAATTTGAACCATTTGCAAAATTTAACAGATGATCAAATGCTGTAAAAAATATTATTGTTACTTTATGTTAGCTTATACTTTGTCATGTTAAATTGAACTTATTGTTAAGTGTTACCGCTTGTTATTAGGGACAGAGCACCTACGGTGCGTAGGCCATATTGGAATTGCTCTGTTTCTTCTTCTCTAGAATGAATTTTTGAGGTTCTAAAAATGCTCGAAAACTCACAAAACTTTGCACACACGGCAGAAGTGGTGAAAATTTATGTTTGTTATGGGTTTCAAAAGTGGGTTTGGCAAAATGGCTTGACAGCACCACCTATGCACTTTTGACGGAGTGGCCCCGAGTCATGCATCATGCACATAGACAAAAATTGGCGGCTTCGAAAACTTTTATGTTTCACCACGAAACATATATTACTCAGGCATGGATTGTCCGATCAGCCTCAGTACACACGTTTGATAACAGTCCTGACCTGAACATGTTTACATGCTAATATCCAGTAACATTTGTAGCACCACCTGCCGGGCAACAGGAAATTTTATGTTTTACAGTGTAACAAACTCCTAGAAATTATATCAGATCAAATCCGTGTTCCATTAGTTTAATCCAAAGACTTTTGTGACATGAAATTGTAAAGATCTAGAGTTTTCGCCAAAGGGCATGTACGTGGCAGACTGACAAAGTTCAGTGTTTTGTCATAGAGGAGAAAGTACTTGTAACACAGCTACACAATGTCTGATCTGCCTGAAAATTCACATTCGATGAAATTGCACCCCTGAGGACATCGACATCCCAATATTTAGTTACAGTCATTTGTCAGGATTTTTTATACTCATGAGCTAAAATTCTTATTGTCTACTGTTCTCTGTCATCCTAAGGCCACAGGGTGGCGATGAACCTGGGTGCAAGGTTTCTTTCATCGCTGCTTGCAGCTTTAATTTATATTTATTTTTCTTATTCATTTTTAAGTAGCGCTTAATTTAATTGTTGGTGATTGGGATTTTATTCTCTGTGTATCCTGACAAAGTTTTCTTTTTCTGTTTTAGGAAAGAGGTCGATGACTTCATTGCAGTGAGCGATGCCGGTCCTACAAAAAGAAATGCATTATCCATCTTTAAAATTGCTAGAAAGTTGCTATTTATATTGAGCAAGGATGATAAGTTGGTAAGCATCACATGATGTTACAATTTTTTAATGTCTAGTAAATTGATTTACTAAATTTTTGTACACTTTTTATTATATTGTGTAATATTAATGATGGTTTGTTTTTCATCTTGCACAGAGGTTTGAGAAGTTGTGCAGAATCATATTGAATAGCATGGATGTTGAGAATGAACCTAAAGTGAGTGAGACCAATGAGTGAAACTGACATCTTTTATTATATCTTATATTGCATTATAATATCTTATATTGCATTAGAGCAATTCCAGCGATATGGATATGACATTTGCAGTAAAACTGAAACCATAAACTCGCATTGAAAGTATATGTTAACAATATATTGAAATATCTGTTAATATTTTATAAAACTACAGACCACAGAGTTAAGGGATCAGAAAAATATAAATCCGTAACATATTTTAGATTTTATAAATGGAAAATAAACATGGGACCAAAAAAGTATGCAATTTTTGAAATATAAAACGTACTTTGTAGAAATTCTGTGAATTAAACTGCATAACCCTTATCTGTGTTATGGATATGACAGATGTGAAACTGGCACTTGGATGACTTTGGTATATCAAATATAATTGTTTGAAAACTTTGACAGACATTTTTGAGTATTTTTGCAGTGCTGTAAAATACAAGCCTACACAACCTAGATATAGTTTTGCTATTTATTAATTTTTTTCATGGCAAGATTGAAATTTGCATGGAATTGCTCATTAGTTCCACGTTTTTGTGTTATTGTGACAAGCTGTTTCTTTTCTAGGTGTGGTATGTGTCTCTGGCTCTTTCGAAAGATCTCACCATCCTCTGGCTAAAACAAATCAAAGACGTTCTTTGGGTCTCATGTGAATTTCTGAAAAAACTAAAGGTATTTCCTAATTAAAATGTATTGGATTTTAACCTGTTTTTATATAACAAATGACTTATTTCAGGGGCTTAAGTAGAATTAAAAAACATGTTATGCATATTAGCACATATATTATTTAAATAAACATAACTTGTTCTTTGAATAGTAGAGTAAAAAATTGGAAAAACCTTTTATAGCAATATTCTAATAATGAACATCCAGATGCAGTCAAAACAGAAGTTCTGATCTTAGTAACCCACGTAAATTTAGAAGTCAGAGCAAAAATGATATCAGTGAGAAAACAGCAGTTAAGAAAGCATCTGATTATAGCAATACTGATATGTTTGCGTAAGCTGTGCAATTCACCTGCAACATGCCATCAGCCGGGCTAATTAAAAATACACTATTAAGTTTGATAATGCTGTACAGAATAGCTATTTAGGCGTTAAAAATTCACACTGTAAGCATTTATTTCATGTGTCACAGAACATAAGTAATATTCTTGAGTTTGCATTTAAGCATGGCAAAATTTTGACTTTCCTTTCAAAAATGTAACAAGTAATCCACATATAAACCAGCCTGTGAGCTTTGATAGACAGCATAGACAGGGCAGCTTTTTTAGGCTTTTTTACAAACACATCACACATTGGCAACTTAATAATAATGATAACAAATAAATAATAAATGAGATTCTTTAGTTCTGAATCTGTTCATACAACCCAGAATGTGCTTCTTGTTAAATTCTTACTTCCTGTTTTCCTTTTCTCTCACCAGCCTGACATTCTGCAAGATAACAAATTGGTGACACTGTACTTGACAATGTTGATTACCTTCACCGACACATCGACATGGAAAATCATCCGAGGGAAGGGTTCGTATCACATGTAATCGGAGATAGTGATTTACAGGTTAAAATGCATAGAGCCTACTTGAATTTCTTGTCTTTCTTTTCTGAAGGAGAAGCCCTTAAGCCTGCTTTAAACAGGATTTGTGAGAACATCATGGGACATCTAAATCAAAAGGGCTTCTACTCTGTTCTTCAGGTACTGTTTATCCAGACAGCCAGTCTTATTTTTACCACAGAATAGGCATGGGCCGGTATATGATTCTGACGGTATGATAACCTTGGATAAAAATATCATGGTATTACAAGATGGTGATTACTGTTCTAAAATATATTCTTTTTAAATGTCTGGGTAAAAAAACAAAAACAAATTTCCCCTTTGAACGTGATATATTTCATTTTGAGAGATGTTTAAAATATTTTGGAGCAGTAAACATGTCAGGCTAAATAATTAAAATGAATCATCTTGTCTTCATTTGTTTCAAAAACACAGATTTCTTTATAATTTAAAACAGCATCTTTGGAAATATTTTTTGCTGGATATACTCTTGTCCTAAAAAAAACTAAAAGTAAAAAATATATACATACACCGTAGGAATGGTACAGCAGAAAATGTTGGTGGTTTTAAAACCTTGATTTTTCCAAACCACGGTATACCTTGAAAACGGTTATCATCCAATACCTACTACAGTCTGTCAGTACTCAATATGATTTATCTTTGACATGTGGTTTGCAGTCAATGAGGCTTTTCTCTGTTAATAATGGTAATACTCGGATACAAAACTATGGATCACTGAGAAACTTTCAGTGCTTTTGCACTTAAGGCTCTATTTTGATATATTGTTACTGCTTAAAATGACTGTTTTTAATACATTTCATAATGTAACTTTGACTGTATTTAGGCTCCAGATTTCTGATGACTCTTGTAGTTTTCTATTATTCTTTAGAAATTGTTCTTTCAATTTAATGCTTAATAAATATATATATTTTATTATTGACAACAGCTTCTTTATATTTTTGTGGAAACAACAATTTTATTATGCTAAGAAAACAGCGGGGTGGCATGGGAACTCAGTGGTTATCACTGTCTCCAAAGTAAGAAGGTCGCTGGTTCGAGTCCCAGCTGGGCCAGTTGGTGTTTCTGTGTGGATTTTGCATGTTTGCCCTATGTTAGTGTGGGTTACCTCCGGGTGCACCGGTTTCCCCCTAGTCCTAGTGCGGTATAAGTGAATTGAATGAAATAAACTGGCTGTAGTGTATGTGTGTATGGGTGTTTCCCAATACTGGGTTGCAGCTGGAAGGGCATCCACTACATAAAACATATGCTGGAATAGTTGGTGGTTCATTCTGCTGTGGCGATTCCTTGAAATAGAGACCAAGCCGAAGGAGATGAATTAATTTATTTGAAACAGAAATCCATTGCAACATTTGTAAAAATTGTTTTTTAAAACAATTTCCTGCATTGTTTTTTTTTTTGAAGAAAATTGCTAATTTCATTACTGACCCCAACATTTTGAATGACAATTAATTTAAAGTATTTTGAACTATAAGGATTTTTAGCTGATCGAAAGCACTAGTTTGAACCAGACTTACTAGAATTAAGTTTGAGCTTTGAACACTCCACATAATAAGCTTATATCCTTTTTTGCAGATTCTACTCACAAATGGATTGGCAAGATCCAGACCTTCTCTTTCCAAAGGAACCCTCACGGCCATTTTTACGCTGTCACTCAGGTCTGTTGCCATGAGAACTGGCTTTTCTCCCAGAGACGTCTCACCGTCTGATTACATCAGTAGCTCTATTTCTGTGAAGTGGCCGATAATGTGATGTGCTTTTTGTCCTGGTGTGTTTCAGGCCTGTTATCGCTGCACATTTCTCTGACAACCTGCTGAGGTCTTTCCTCCTGCACGTCATGTCTGTTCCAGCGTTCATCTCGCATCTCAACACACTCACTCCAGATGTAAGAGACGTCACATCTGGATGAATGATAATAATCTGCACAAAAAAAACCTCATTTACATACACATGTTAAAGTCAAGATATTTGTTGTGGGAAAATAATTTAACTTGTTTGAGTTTGTGTCCTTTCCAGTGCATGATCACCATCCAGACCCATGACCTTTTTCGCAAGTTTGTCTTGTTTTTAAGCCGAGAGGAGCAGTGTTTGGATATCTGTGTCTGTCTGGAGGGAAGCCACACTCTGTGCTTGCTGGGTAAGCATCTGTGCTTTATCAGGGTGTCCATTTGGTCTTTAAATGTCTTAAATAAATAAAAAGTCCTAAAGTTTTTGTAATATTGTTTTTGCTCTTAAATCATTTTAAACATGTCTTAATTTTCCTTTGTTTTTCTAAAGCTACCCAATCAATCCAACAAATAATCAATTACCAACAATACATCTCAATAAAACTTTTAGCCAAACTCCATAACTAATATTATTATAGTCTAATGTGCATGCATTTAGTTTATTAAAGGTGCTGTATGTAAGTTTTTGACTCTTCTAAAGCATAAAAATACCATAATATGTTGGCAGATGTTTAGGAAACATGATTAGTGAACATACTTGTTTATCTGAAAAACAATGCTGAAGTCAGGTATTCTGCTTTGAAAATGTGTTTTCCATGCCAGAACTTTGTCTTTGGTTTGCTTTTTTTAACCCACCCAATGCCAGTTAAGCCATTTTTTTAGCACCTTGGGTTGCCTTCATGGAAAACCACTTAATTCATATAGTCAGGAAGGCTCTCAAAGTATGCATCCGAGATCGAAATGCGACCTCCGTTGGACAGTAACAGTCTCTGAAATGAGACGCAGAGTTCCACACGAGGTGATTATTAATTAGCAAATAATATAAAAATTAAGAATGCAGGCATTTGGTGAGCAGGTTACATTGTAACCCCCTGTCCTAACAACACGCTACATGAAGATATTTGCGGTAATGAGCAATTTGGATATTTGCACCAGACGAAAAAGGACAGAAATGTTAATACAATCATTCAGAAGCACAGAATAGTGCACTTACTCACCAAATGGTAAGGTTTATAATGTAATTAATACATATTAAACCTCTTTAACATTATTCAGTGCATGCTGAATCACTGAATTGTTGGTTTGCATTATTTTACAGTTCTAAGGTTCAATTTCAAACATTTTATTTTATTTTCAAGATCTGAGGTAAAGTATCTGTAGTAGTATGGCAATAATGTCATGTAAAATGGCATTCAAACTCACATTATTTGCTTTAACACTGAATAAAGCACATGAGGTGTACCTGAGGAGATCAGTGTCATTTTATCCGGTTGTTCAGCTGAAATTAAGAAATTAAAAGAAATTAAGAAATAGAAGCACTTTCTAATATATCAACTTCAGGTGTTGGTTAGAACAAAAACTCCTTTTATTATGGAAAATATTCCTTCTATCGTGTGCTGCTGCTTTTATTTAGAACATGGTTTAAATCAGCCTTTAGGCTCGATCGTCAGACTTGCTCCTGTTGGTCCTCAATCGAGACTTAGGGCCTACTCACACTATGCCATCCGTACCATGCCCAGGCCTGTTTCCCGGATCGTTTGAGAAGTGTGAGTGCGCTGAATCGGGCTCAAGCACGGTTCACTTGGCCGGCCCTGGCCCGGTTGGAAGAGGTGTGCCTGAGCGCGGATCACTTGGGCTTTGTGTTTATGTACGCTTGTGTGTGAGTGCAAAACGCGCCAAAGCCCGAAACTGAAAGCGAGACGTGACTTTTAAGGGGGTGTTTCATATGGATTTATTAATCATTCTTACTGTTCAGTGATCTCAAATCACTGAACGCAAAGTGATCTGCCGTAGTTTATTAAAGACGCAAACCTCTCACTGCACGTCAGCTGCGCGGCTTCAGCAGACCTCCTTATTCCTGCAGCACGAGAGCTTTATGATTGTTTATGAGCGCCAAAAGTGGCGGATCTGTCTGGTAAAATATCTGACTGCGTGTCACCGCGTCCCTAAGGACTGTTTGGCGAATTATTTGACTGCATGTCACTGCATAACAAACGACTGAAACGATATAACTAGAGAAATCTCCACTGTTCTACTGGGTGAGAGCATATGGCAAGCCGTTTTAGCATTTAAACCTTGTTCTGACTATCCATAAATATATTTAGATATATCTCTTATTATATTTTGACTAGTCATAATTATAATTCGACTAGTCAGATTGGAGATATCTGCAAATATATTATGACTGACTAGTCATATTCCTCCATTGACTTCCATTGAAAAATATTTGCAGATATCTCTAAATAAGTTTTGATTAGTCACAATTGTAATTAGAGATATCTCCAAATGAATTTTGACTAGTCAAAAATCCAATTCAAGATATCTACAACTGTAATTCAACTATAAGTAATTTAATTAGAGATATCTTCAAATATATTTGTAAATATCTCTAAATATGACGAATTAAAGATATCTCCAAATGTATTGTGACTAGTAAAAACTAGATATCTCTAATTACAATTGTGACTAATCAAAACTCATTTAGAGATATCTGCAAATATTTTTCAATGGAAGTCAATGGAGGAATATGACTAGTCATAATATATTTGCAGATATCTCCAATCTGATTTCGTACTAATACAATTGTAATTGCAGATATCTCTAATTGTCATTCTGAGTAGTGGAATTATAATTATGACTAGTCAAAATATAATTAGAGATATCTCTAAATATATTTATGGAGTCAGAACAAAGATTTAAATGCTAAAAAGACTTGCCATAGTGAGCGCTTCTCACAGAACAGCGCAGCAGCGATGACGCAAGCGTGCCGAGGCCCGATATGGTGTGAGCGCGGGCCGTCGGGGGAGACGGGAGGGGGGACAAGCATGCTTTGGCCCGGTTCGAGGCAACTGTACCTAGTGTGAGTACGGCCTAAAGCTTAATGACATAGTTGACCAGGTCCGCTACGTAGTTTACGATCGCCTACACCTCCCCCTACACTAAACCCAACCATTACAGTAGCATGGGTGTTACCTTAGTAGGGTACAATGTTCTCTACGTAGTTGGTGATCGCCTACACCTCCCCCACCCTAAACCCAACTGTCACAGTAGCATGAGCGTTACCTTAGTGTGCGGTACAAGGTCCGCTACGTAGTTGACGATCGCCTACATCATAAAGCTGAGGACTGCTGCGAAGACATCTTGCCTCAATCTGCTTTTGTTTCGATCCAGGAATGCAATACCTAGTTCAACCACTGTGTGTGAAACTTACATACTGCACCTTTAAGTGTTTTTTTAATTACATTGAAAAACATTTTTATGTATACAACTAGTCTGCTTGTTTTGACACGTCGTTTTAAACGTATGGCTAAAAAACGAACTATTCATAGCTAGTTTTAGATGGCTCAAGTAAAAATACTTTTTTCTTCTGCTGTGCGATTTTAAAAAATCCTTAACATTTAGGCCTATACATGTCTGAAGTTGATCGTCTTAAAAAGTCTTAAATTTGACTAGGAAACCTGCAGAGACCTTATTTATGAACACAATACATGAACAGTGTATTAAATTTGGAGAGCTATGGTTGGACAGATGAAAATAGATCTAAATTACTAATAATACTTTGACTTTTCTGGGTTGAAATTGACAGATGACTCATTTTCTAGAAAATAAAATGCTTTCTCAGCTGCACCACTTTTATTCCTTGTTTATATTTCCTAGAACTGTAATTATCTGATCAGCTTCTTTTGTGTTTCCAGGAAACCTCATTCAGCTCGGATACTTTAATGTGAAAGTTCTAGAACAGGAAGCAGGTCACTTTGTCAAGGATCTTACAGATATGTTGTCATACTGTCAGAGATATGTGTCTCAGAAGAAATCCAATCTCACACATTGGCACCCAGTGTTGGGCTGGTTCTCCCAGACTGTTGATTATGGGTATGTTAATATGTTGGCAAAATACAGCAACTGATTATCCTTTCTGGATATCTCTGTTGGTGCTTCCTTTTAAGTCGTCTTTCACTTTCTCTCTCTTGTTTTCTCTCTCTCTTCTTTGTTTCTCCAGGCTTAATGAATCTATGCCATTGGTAACAAAGCAGCTGCAGTGTCTGTGGGGAGTTCCAGTGATCTGCACTCTGTTCTGTGATGTTCTTAGCAAAAAGCTTGAAACTCAAGACCCCACACCCCCACCAGCTCCTCAGCCAAGCTCATTGCAGAATAACCTGCCCGTCAAAAGTGAGAGACACATAGTTTCCTAAACATTTCTACTTTTAAAGGACAAAAATTAATTTTGTAGATGATTAAACATGGACTTTGTGTCTATTGTTTTACACTAAATGCACTCAAGAATGTAGGCTCAGTATTATATAACCCTTTAAGTAAATTTATCCTATTTCTGACTACTTGTTTTGGATTAAAGAGTTAGTTCATCTAAAAATGAAATTCTGTTATTGATTACTCAATCTCATGTTGTTCCCATGAGACCTTTGTTCATCTTCAGAACACAAAATTAAGACATTTTAGATGAAATCTGTAAGCTCCCTCATCCTCCATAGACAGCAATGATCCCAACATAAAAAAAGTACATTCTTGAAGCTGTCCATATGCCTTAAATTGTTTAAATGGAGTATTATAAAGCTACACTAATACTTCTGTTTGCACATAAAATAAAAAATAACAATTGTTCAACAATTTCTTCTCCTCCATGTCACTTACAGAATATCATTTTTTGAGTTTATTAAATTCTTTTTTATGTTAGTTGCATAAAACAGTGGTGCTCAATCAAAGGAGTTGGGAGCCTCTTGGTTGATTGAATAAACTCAAAAAATCAATTACCACAGCCGAATCAGCCTGCAGTCCAAGACTGGTTACTCACTAAAACTAAGCAGGGCTGCACCTGGTCAGTAACTAGGTGGGAGACCACATGGAAAAACCAGGTTGCTGTTTGGAAGTAGTGTTAGTGAGGCCAGCAGGGGGTGTTCAACCTGTGGTCTGTGTGTGTCCTAATGCCCCAGTAAAGTGAAGTTAATGCTATACTTTCAGCGAGCGCCATCTTTCGCATGAGACGTTAAACCGAGTTTCCGACTCTCTGTGGTCAATAAAAAATCCCATGGCACTTCTTGTAAAGAGTAGGCATGTAACATAACTGTTGCATGGTTGTGGTACATTGATTTATTTTACTACAACTGTCTATTAAGTTAAAGATTTGATACTGATTAGAACTTGGTGATGACGTCTTAATATTCTGGGAAGGTCCTTAAAAAGTCTTAAAAAGGTATGGAAATTTCCTTTAGGATTCCTGCATATACCCTGATATAGCATGAAGCTAATTTGCAGGCCTCCTCCCTGGTTAGGCTATCACATAAAAAAAATAATAATAATAATAAAAAATAAAATAAATAAATAAATCCATTATATAGGATGTTTTTTTTTTATTCGCTTTGCAAAAATCAACAAATAAAATGTTTTTTTTTTTTTTTTTTTAATCTTTAAAAATCACATAGTGAATGCTTAGCAGGACTGGCTGTATTTTATTTTTCACAGTATGGTCTGGACTAAATGAATCAAGAGAACTGAACTTTAAGTTTGGACACATTTTTAGTATTTCAGTTTTCCTCAAGGAATAAATGTGAACAGAACAAATAAAACAGTAGTGTGCTACTCTGAATTTGTCCTGATTTCAATGAGGAACTTTTGTTGAACTCCCTGCACGATTAGATCTGTTCAAGCGAGCATTCCAGAAATCTGCTTCTGTGCGGAACATCCTGAAGCCGGTCGGGGGGAAGCGTGTGGACTCTGCTGAGGTCCAGAAGGTGTGTAGTATCTGTGTGCTGTATCAGACGGCCCTCACCACACTCACACAAATCCGTCTGCAGATTCTCACAGGTACGTGCTTTTCTTATTTACATTTAAATCATGCACATTCAGACATTTTAGTTTAACCTCTTTTTATTGCATTTTGTCTGAGCTTATAGTTCATGCTATTGTTTCAGCAGTTCATCTCACCACATTTTAAGATTCTTGATTTATTCTGCACATTTGCAGAATAATAGTTGTTTGTGGGATAGAATAATTATTTTATATCATAATAACTTTGAATAATATTGTAGTTAATCTCGACTCAGCAGTTTCCAATTTAAACTCTGTTTGCAGGACTGACATATCTGGATGAATTGCTGCCTAAGCTGTGGGCATTTATCTGTGAGCTCGGCCCTCAGGGGGGACTCCGACTCTTCCTGGAGTGTCTCAATAATGACACGGAGGAATCCAAACAGCTCCTGGCCATGCTGATGCTCTTCTGTGACTGCTCCAGACACCTCATCACGTAAGAATTGTGTAGTTTACTGTTGAAAAGAGATGTGGAATATGCATAATCTTAGACTCTGTCCCAATAATATATTTTTTGATATATAATAATTAATTTTGATATAAAATTATGTATGTATTAAAACATATGCTTTTTGTTAAAAAATTCCTAGTAATGACAAAAAAATAATAATCAGTGCAGCCATGTTGCTGGTGTACTCAAGGGCTATCTACCCCTTCCCCTTAGCCCTATGCCTTCAAACTAAAGAAAATTGAGACACCCCTTCCCCTTCACATGAACAGTCTAAATCAGAGATGCCCAGCCTAGGGCCCACAGGCCAAAGTTGGCCCATGGTAACCTTTGATTTTGCCTGCCATCTAATCTGAGAAGAGAGGGACAATGATGGGGATGGTTTAAAGATTGTCATTTTGAAATTAATGCAACTTTTCATCTGTTTGTTTTATGGTTAAGCTACAGAAAAGCTATCTGAAATTAAATGTTTCATTTTAAATAGTGTGAATTAATCAGAATTAGTTTCAAATGTTCATACGGTCACTCGAAGGATGGAGGACTGTGGTGAGCAAATTAAGGGAAAGGCAGATTCTGCTTGACTAGCGTATTTAGCATTAACCTCCACTGTGTTAAGTATAATAATCATAATTAAATCATAAAATTAAGTTATTAAATAATTATTTAATATGATTCAGAGAAACGTTTATTTATTTATTTTTTTAATTTTATGAAAAACATTAGATAATTACCCATGGCAACTTTGATTTAAAATAGTTTATAATATTTATCTTTGGCCCACAGTTATGAATCATATTTGGTTTTTGGCCCTTCATAAAAAACGTTGCATCCCTGGTCTAAATCCATGTGATGCAAATACAATTCAAAATATGAAGGCAAACATATTCATGTATTTTTTTTTTTAGACATAATATAAATGTATACAAGAAGTAAGCAATTAAACAATATCCATATTATTTTTGGTCATTATTGCACAGCCCTTCTGGTGACAAAGCTTTAATTCAAACATTGATTCTATTTACATTGCTCAGCATAAATAAGTACACCCCTCACAGTTCTCTCTTTTAAATTAATATGTTCTATAGGATGCTTTACAATGATATATTTGTGCATAAACATTAGATTAGTCTGTACCAAAGCCAAAACTGATACTAATCTTACAAAAAAAAAAAGCTTTGAATCACTGTCCAAAAATTAGTACACCTATATTAATATGTTAGGAGAAAAATATTAAATAAAAAATCAAGAGAAACATCAAAAATATCAAGTTTAGTTAAAAGTTTGTAGTTAAAATGTTTTTGCAATGACTTATTTGAAATTAAATGTATTATATTTCTATTCCTAAAGATGTTAGGAAAACGAACTCTATTTTTAATGGATAAAACTGTTCAATAAAACTTGTTTAAATGCACCTAAATATTTGGATATATTCACAGAGAAATGGATAAAAATATTCATTCGCAAAAGGGGGTTAACCCATTGATGCTGAACATTGTTTATAATTAAAAATATGATCAAACTATTACCAAATTGTCTGTTTTTACATTTGTGTGTTTTGCTGTTACAGTATTCTGGATGACATTGAGGTGTACGAGGAACAGATTTCTTTCAAAATGGAAGAGCTTGTCACGATCTCCTCATTCCTTAACACATTTGTATATAAGATGGTCTGGGATGGTATTTTAGGTAGGTGTTATTTAGTTTTTACAACAAGTAGTTTTTTTATGCATTAGTTTCTCCATTCTTGTTCTCCAGTCTTTACTTATGCTTGCAGCCTCATGTAGATAAAGCTTGGTTGTTTGAACCATCTGCATATGGAGCTGGTGATAACGTGCTGTTCTCGTGTGGTCATTAATTCGTTTTAGAGAACGCCAAAGGGGAGAAGTTGGACTTATTCCACAGTGTTCACGGCTGGCTGATGGTTTTGTACGAGAGGGACTGTCGCAGGAGATTCACGCCTGAAGATCACTGGCTCCGCAAGTATGCCGCCCTCACATTATCACTGAGCCACATTACTCTGCTGATTTACTTTAGAGTTCAGGTCCACTCAAATGAAATAAATTGCTGCTTGTTATATTCCTGTAGGGGAAAGCTAAATGTATCGACCTACAAAATAAGTCTCATTTGTTTTCTTTTTCACTGTGTGTCGAATACAGGGACCTGAAGCCCAGCCTACTGTTCCAAGAGCTGGAGAAAGGCAAAAAGAGAGCGCAGCTGCTGCTTCAGTACATTCCTCATGTCATCCCACATAAAAATGTGAGAATAAATCTCCAGAGATTATCAATGTTTTAGTTGATTGCATCAATTGAGGATTTAATCTGGATTTAATGAGATGTAGAACATAATTTACATTTAATAAAGGAGAAAATCTTCTTTATTTTTTAAAGTTAAGATCAATATTTACTCTTCTTAATTTTATACAGTTGAGTCAGAGTTATTAGCCCTCCTGAATTATAAGCCCCCCTGTATATTTTGTTCCCCAAATTCTGTTTAACAAAATTATTTTTTTCAACACATTTCTAAACATAATAGTTTTAATAACTCATTTCTAATAACTGATTTATTTTATCTTTGTCATGATGACAGTAAATCATATTTTAGTAGATATTTTTTAAGATAGTAGTATTCAGCTTAAAGTGACATTTAAAGGCTTAACTAGGCTAGTTAGGTTAACTAGGCAAGTTATGAATATTAGACAATTTATGGTTTAATAGTGGCTTGAAAAAAAGGCTTAGAAAAACTCCTTTTATTGAAGCCGAAATAAAATTGATAAGAAAAAATATTTTGCAAAATACTGTGAAAAATGCCTTGCTCTGTTAATCATCGTTTGGGAAATATTTCCAAAAATATATAATATTTGTGACTTCAGTTGTGTATAGTTATGCGTGTTAAAAATAATGTATCAGTGCAAAATAATGATTTGGCCCTCATAATCTTTAATAAAACACTATAACCTTCCCTCCTCCCTTGAAACCACGTTTCTTTACTTCTTGTCACATGGGGTGCCTTTAAGGCTGATTTATACTTAACAAAAGTATAATTAATATTAATTAATTAATATTTAATATTTTTATATTTAATAATTAATATTTTTAAAGTACTGTGACGGTTAGGTTTAGGGTTGGGGTGGGGGTAGGTGTTAAAAAATATAATTTATTGGGCAATTTATAAGATAGCATAAATTATACTCGGTACAACTACTGTCTTTACGTTACTGTGATGGTTGAGTTTAGTGTTGTGGTGGGGGTAGACGTTAATAAAACAAAAAAATGAGAAATTTAATAAATGATATAAATAATTCTCGTTAACTTCCAGCCGCAATCGTATCTGATCTAGCAACAACCCAGATGGAGCGATTGTTTACAAATGTCAAGTCCCGTCAAGGAGCTACAGATGGAAAGTTGCTTTGTGTTTACCTTATGATTAAAGTTGCTGCACGTCCACCAGTTCCCGCCTCTGAATGAGTTAGTTTTGGCTACTCATACATTTAAGGTAGCGTTCAGAAAAAAACAAAAACACCCGCAAGGAAACTTGACACAGAGGAACATAAAAACCCACTGCCAGCTAGCATTTTGGGGGTGTTATTTCAGACAGAGCAATTCAAACAGCTTGCAGAAGTGTAAATGCACCACTATACGCAAGGCATGCGCTGTGGGTCACGCCGATCACTCGACGCAGAAGTATAAATCAGTGCTATCAGTGCAGATCTTGTTTCTAACCTGAATATGATACGATTCTGTCTGTAAAATGTATCTTTCTGTTTTCATCATCATCGGCCATCTGAAAACTTTCTGCACAGGAGGGTGCCGATGGTGATTCTAATGGACAGCAATCTTCCACAACTAAGTGCAAACTGACATTCAAATCTTTCACCATTTTGTTAGCAATGCCCATCTTCCAATGATCCAATTGGTTCCCAAAGGACAAAATAATGCATCGCACAATATATTTTTCTCATTTCAGAAACCGTTTTAGTTGGATGTGCATCATGAAAGAGGGAAAAAGAGCAATCTTAACTTCCATTCTATGCCAACTTTAATGTTGAAATCTACTAATCTAATTTTGTTACAGAGGGTGCTGCTGTTCAGGAACATAGTGACAAAAGAGAAGGAGACTCTAGGATTGGTGGAAACAAGCTCCGCCTCTCCTCATGTGACCCATATAACGATTCGTCGTTCACGCATGTTGGAGGTAAGGGGTCATGGGTTTAATTTATTACTTGATTGAAAAACAATATTAGTTGCCTTGAGTAAAACTGTCTGGAAAGTGCATAAATGTAATAGTTTTGAGTGATTATAGTAATGATGTCTTTCTGTCTCTTGCTTGTCACAGGACGGTTATGATCAGCTGCGGCGTCTACCTGTCAACTCCATTAAGGGAGTGATCCGAGTGAAGTTTGTCAATGATTTAGGAGTGGACGAGGCTGGAATTGACCAGGATGGTGTATTTAAAGAATTCTTAGAGGAGATCATCAAAAAGGTTTTCAACCCAGCACTCAATCTGTTTAAGGTATACATTGCTCCCTCTCTTTCCAAAAAGCTGGCAAAGTCTTCTAAAATGCTTCTAAGACCTGGCATCAGGGTTTCCGCCGGTCAGTCTTAAATTGCTTTTCCATAAATTGAAGTTTTAAAAAATTGCATGGTATTAATTTCCGTGAGTTATCGTTTACTTGTGTATCATTTTATTGTGAAGAGCAGGCGTTCTACAATGAGGATTATCATGGTTATCATTGGCACCATTCATTATCATTCACTGTATCATTCCGGACTTCAATTGAAGGATGTGATTGCAACTTTTAATTACATATTTCCTCATTTACTTATGTCTGCGGGGTGCACTGTGTACGTGAGTCAAGGAACTGCTACCAAATATACAAAATGTTGATTAACTCCTGCAGTGGAATTTAAACGTGGACGTCGTGTCGCCATCTAGCTGTGGTGTGTGGAGCTGTCCTGAGACTGCTGCAATTTTTATTTATATTTATTTAACATTACTTTAAGAAAGTTTTGCAAGTATTAATGTGTTTGATAAATCATACTTTGACAAAAAAAATTTAATTGTGAAGCAAAGTATTAAATATTCATATCAAAATAGGTATAATTTGATATATATCTTCACAATGATAATAATTATATATAAATATATAGCTCTTTTTACTATGTATTATAACTAGGGAGCACTTAAAGAGTTGTATTTATAGCAACTGGCTTGACAACAATGTCTTTGAGGTATATAGATTTATAAAGGTTTATAGGGTCTGATCAGAATGTAAAAGTTATTTCAACTCTAAAGTGGTTGATTCAGGGTTATTCAAGCCTAAACATATTTTATGCAAATTATGTTTTAAAGAAGCAAGTTAGATCATTTGTATTTTTACCTTGTATTGCTGCTATAAATACAACTCTTCATTTGCTCTCTAAGTATGTTATGTAGTTCTCAACACATTGCTGTTATTTTCTCTTTAAAATAGTTTTCCCTTAATCTTTTTCAGTTAAAAAGCTCATTATAAAGTCTTTTACCCTCATAAAACCTGCAGACACCTTGGTGCTTACTTCGCCAATAAACCTAAACCACTTAATTGTTTTTGTCTCTTTCAGACCACCAGTGGGAATGAGAGATTATACCCCTCCCCAACCTCCAGCATCCATGAGAACCACCTTCAGCTGTTTGAATTTGTGGGGAAGATGCTGGGAAAGGCCATGTATGAAGGCATTGTGGTGGACGTGCCGTTTGCCTCTTTTTTCCTCAGTCAGGTTCTGGGTCACCATCACAGCACCTTCTATAGCTCCATAGATGAGCTGCCCTCGCTCGACTCCGAGTTTTACAAAAACCTCACCTCCATTAAGGTCAGTAATAATGCGACTACTACAAAGAAAGTTTGGGAAATGCTTGATTTTGATTTATGTTTTTAAGATATGTAATGTACTTGGATTTATATGTACTTGGATCTATAATATTTTTTTATCCAATGTGATTAAAAATTGTAAAATATTAGTGAAAAATAACCAGTTCAGTGCTTCCCACACAGACTTTACTTGGGCGGCTGCCCAGGTATATTAACGACCGCTCAATACATTCAGTGACACTTTTTTTTTGCTATTATTATCATACTGTTACACTTTTTTTTGTATCCACCCAACATAAACAAACATCCGCGAGAGATTAAGTATTGAAAAATCTTCTCTTCTTTACCTATTTCATACTACTTGTTCAGTGTGCGCTACCACAGGTAATCTCACATGCTCTGCAGACGCACAGAGACCCTCACCTTTTGGCGTCTGGCTGGGGTATCTACTGAAATGTCCAGGATTTGGTTTTGTTTTAATTTTCTAAGCTGTCGTTAATTTAAGTGAGGGAGACATTAAATAATTAATTTTTTACTCTAAATGACTCAGAAAAACTTTACTAAATACTCAGAGAGGTCAAAATTACATTTAAATCGGCTGCAAAATATTTGTACACTATTAGAAATGGTTATAATTAAAATTATTATAACTTTAAGAGATATTGTCTGTTTTTATTCCTTTTTCTGTCATTTATTTCTCATTTGCTATATAATTTATAAATTTGACGAGGTTGATATATTACATATATTATATATCTAAAATGCCTTCGCAATACTGTACAAAATGTCATGCCGATAAAGCAGCCTGAACTTGAATAAGAGAGAGAGAAGCAGATTTTTCTTCTCAGTGGATGCACATGGCTTCTGAATACCATAAAAGTAAGACCTTTTTTCTTTTGTACTTTAACCCATTAAAAAGAAAAAGTTTAAAACCGATAATAATAAAATATCGTTAACAATCAATTTTTTTGTTTGTCACATATAGTTAACTATTCATTTGCTGTGGGTAAAAGGTGTGTTTCTATCTGGCTATCACCGCAAGTATATTTCAAACCTATGGGAAGCACTGCAATTAATTTCAAGATCATGACCTTGCTCTTAATGTTACTTAAGTTCCTGTTGTGAGGTCTAAAATTTATTTCTTATTAAACTCACTTAGTGAGTTATTCATTAAAGTTTTGCCAGAGAAAGTTTTAGAATTTTTATCATATATTGTAAATGTAACTTGTGTTTATTTGTTTGCGGATGTTTATTGTATTTATGTTTATTGTACTTGTATTTTCTTAATTGTTTTCATTAGAATAGCCTAAAATATACTATACAATTTGCATTTTATATTAAATACACCATTTGGGTTATTATATCTGTATAAAATGATGGGAATAAGTCGTTCAGTAAGGATTTGTTTATCTTTTTTAACCTCAGGCTTTTTAATGTTCTTAATATTTTACGACTAAAAAATTGTCAAACAACAACTTGATGTACATTTATTTATTTGCTTTTTCAAGAATAGAAAAGTTTTATTATATTATTAAAATGATTTTGTGTTGTACTCTCCTGCTATTAGATGACAGTGTTTTTTTTCTTGCAGTAAGTGCACTGTATTGTTTTATTTTTATTTTTTTTCAGCGTTATGATGGGGATGTCAGTGACCTTGGTCTAACTTTATCCTATGATGAAGAGGTTATGGGGCAGGTATGCAACTTTTGTGTCGGCAAAATCTGTTTTGCTTGGTTTTGTGTCCTTGTTCTCTTTATACGCACACCTTTGCTTCCTTTTGTCTTTTCACAGTTAGTCTGTCATGAGCTCATTCCTGGTGGAAAGACTATGCCTGTCACTAATGAAAACAAGTGAGTCCATTTTGTCTCTTCGGTCAACTGTAAATAAAATTTCCATGCCAGTGCAGCCCTCCTATTCACATTCAATGCAATAAGAAGAAATGACCCGATAAAAAAACTAATTAGTTTTGGATGCAGACCGGTTCAAAAAGCAATTATGGATTTGCAACCTCAGACAAATGCTTATTTATGTAAACCTGTTGTTTTCACTAATGGATTACCTTATATCTGTAACTCTAATAGGACTGAACAGAAGGTTTTTCAGTTCATGTTTTTTCTTTATGTAAAAAAAGTCAGCCTGGCTTAGCTTCTCTCTTTTTTTGTACATGTGTTAATCGTTATCCATCATTCTATCCTCCAGGATCAGCTATATCCACCTGATGGCCCATTTCCGCATGCACACTCAGATCAAGGAGCAGACGGCTGCATTCATCAGGGGCTTTCGCAGCATCATCAACCCAGAGTGGCTGCACATGTTTTCTACCCCGGAGGTCCAGAGGCTCATCTCGGGAGACAACGCTGAGATAGATCTGGATGATCTCAAGTAAGACCATGATTTTTAATTGGACTGTGTGATATTAACCAAAATATCATCTCAATATTTTTAAACATTTTCGCTAACAGGAATCAAGTTTGAGTTGATTGGGTTGAAATACATTTTGGTCTCCTCTGAGGTTGTCCGAATACCAATAATTTATCTTGAATAAAGAATAAAGGAACTTAAAACCTAAAAAGATGAAGAGTAAATAGTAGCGTTTTGGGGTAGTTCACCACATTCATATCTGTTGTGCAGATCTTTCCCCACAGATATCATAAAAGATAGTCCTAATAATCACATGCTGTGAACAACAGTCTTAAAAGGTTATTTATAATAGTGCCTGTAAAATTTTAAAATAAAAATAAAAATTCTTCTTCATTCTCTTTCAGAAAGCACACTGTGTACTATGGAGGTTTCCATAGCAGCCACAGAGTCATTCTTTGGCTGTGGGACATCCTCTCTAGTGACTTCACCCCTGATGAGAGAGCCATGTTCCTGAAGGTAGTGTTTTTCACATGCTTGTAAGTTTTATCTGAGGTATTTCAAGGTTTCTTACTGTTCATTAAGGGGCTGTATTCCATCATAGTTTGTCACCAGCTGCTCAAGACCTCCTCTTCTCGGTTTTGCCTACCTCAAACCTCCTTTCTCCATTCGTTGTGTGGAAGTGTCCGACGATCAGGTTAGTCATATTCTTATCAACTTCGGTGCCATCTACGCTAGTGCATTTTCATGTTGAAACACACAAGTTTTGTTTTGTTATGGTTACACTTAGCATCCACAGTACTCCAGCATCTTAGACCCACGAAAGCAGAGTGTAAAAAATGCTGAAGACCTGTTTTAACTTGTTAAGCTGTTCGTTTCAGTATTGACAGATGGAACTGCAAACTTTTGAAAATGAAGTTGTGAATTTTCCCAATCACTTTTTAACTAGTCTTCCAGACTACTCTTTGTTTTTTGATTCGTCAAGTCCCTTTTATGTATCATTACATAACCTGTAGACTGCAAGAATGGATGCTGGCAAAATATGAGTAGCACGAATAGTCATGCATCATGTATTTTAAGGTGCTTTCCATACCTACAGTTAAAATCAGAATTATTAATAAACCCCCTTTTAATTTTTTTCTTTTTTTAATGTTTCTCAATTTTAGGTTAACAGAGCAAGGAAATGTTCACTGTATGTCTGATAACATTCTTTCTTCTGAAGAAAGTCTTATTTGTTTTATTTTAGCTAGAATTAAAACAGTTTTTAATTTTTTAAAAACCATTTTAAGGTCAAAAGTATTAGCCCTTTTAAGAGCCCTTTTTTGGATAGTCTACAGAACAAACCATCATTATACAATAACTTGCCTAATTACCCTAACCTGCCTAGTTAACCTAATTAACTTAGTTAAGCCTTGTCACTTTGAGCAGTATAGAAGTGTCTTGAAAAATGTCTTGTCAAATATTATTCACTATCATAATGGCATTTGATGGATTAAATTGCTTTCTCACTACAATCGAACCACTCTAGAGTTTGTTTCATTTGAGCCGAGACCACTTCATTCAGGCAATCTTTGACGATTGTTCTGGTGCAGATCAAAGTGCGATTGCTGGTTTCACGTATGCCCAAACGAGCTAAGAGGGCAAATGTGTCAAGTTCCGAAACAGACATCTAGGTGTGAATGCACCCTTAGGTTGTATAATGTGGACAGAGAAGACCCCGTTTACACTAATACATTTTAGTTTTAAATGCATGTTTTAAATGTCCTGTCCACACTACCCTGGAGTTTTCGAGCCTGAAAACAGAGCTTTTTGAAAATGCTGGAGAGGCCGTTTTCATTTTAAAACGCTGCTGCTCCATGTCAGTGTGGTTGGGGGAAAATGGAGGTGTGACTGCATCTGATTGGGCTTTTTCTCAGTATTAAGTGCACATAGTTCAGTCTTGCACCCTTTCCTTAAGTTCAGACAGAAAACAAACTCCAGAGGTGTCGGTTAAAAACAATGTACTTTATAAAATCATTCGCATCACACTGGCTACGCTGTTTCACTATCTTAACAATAAAGTGAAAACATGATATAAGGAACTGCCTATTTTCATTTCTATATTAACTTAACAGACGCTAAAAATGTTGAGGCATTGTGTAGCTACATATTTATGTGATCGTCATCTTCACTGTATGCATATTTATAACAAAATAGAGCCTATAACATAACTGCCTCCTTTCATTTTCAGTGAAATTGTTAAACACCCTCTCTTTTGCTGAATATCGGTTTTAATAATCAATAATGGCCATTATAAAAGTATAACGTACAATAAGTTTAAACATTATAGGAAATAAAGGCAAGCAATCAGTCAATTGTGCTGAATCAGTGTATGTAGTTACATAAACTAATATATCAACTTGTCTTTGTGCTCAGCCAAAACACGTTACCTGAGAACAAGACCATTAGATAGAGGCAAGATTAATTCAATATTACATTTAACAACTATACAATATACATAAAAAAAAAAATGTTGAATGAACATGATTTAATCGTGGCACCCTTATGCATCTAATCCAATCAAGTAAACCTGAACTGCTTTGAACATGTTGTATGAACACAAAGTACATTTGTAGATAAAACATGGTTTCAATATGTCTAACTTCTTTGCAACTAATTGACTCAAAATGTTTGTATTGTGTTATTCTAATTTAAATGATTCTAATTTACTCAATGTATCACTAAAGCTTTACTTTGACAAAATGATCTCTTGTTAAATCAGCTAGTATATTTCTTGTTTAATATTGTTGTTTAAATAAAATTTTTTAAGTGACAATACTATGAAGCAAGATTTAAAATTAAGTAATTCAACACAAAAAGGACAGAAAACATGTTATATATATATATATATATATATATATATATATATATATATATATATATATATATATATATATATATATATATATAATTTATATAATATAGTGCCTTTAGCAGGTACCAATCACATTTAAACAAATTTCTTCTTTAATATTCTGATACAAAATGTTATATAATATCCAAAATTGTAATATGTAATATAAAATGTATAAGAAACATTTAGCCAACAAAATAACCTTGGCTCTTAAGAAAACTGATCCCCAAGCAATACCTGTAGGACGTTAACATCATTTTTTTTTACCAATTGAGTTTAAACAGCTTTCTTCACTTTGGTACTCCTATTCAAAATGTAAAAGTATAAAATGTATAGGAAATATATAGCCAACAACATAACATGCATAACATTCAAGCACTTGGGAAAACCAATTCCCAAACTGTGCCGAAAACACGCGGTGATACTTCTTCTTGTTGTTTTCGTATGGTGACATCTAAACGCACTACCGCCACCTACTGATATGCGCGAAGTGACTCTCCAGAGTGAGAGTTGTCGATTTGAAACGTCTCAGTCTCATTGAATCAACATGTTCTGATCAAATTCATTTGATTATTTCTTGATTCAGTTTCAAATAACATGAATTAATCATTTAACATACGTAAACTTGATTTGTTCTTTTCAATCTAACAAATTTTTATTTTGTAAATCCAATACATGCCTAGTTGATTTTTTTAAGTGTAGTGAGATGAAATTCTGCAGAAGATCCTTGATGAACTGTCCGACCTGCGCTGCTCTCACCCAGGGAGGTGTGCTCAAAGCACCCGCTGACTGCCTGGATCTCAAGACGTACGCATATGCTGCAGCGCATGCCAGAGTGTGTGTTAGTCAGGTGATGTGCGTTTTCAGCGGTGTAGTGTGGACAGAGAGCTGTTCAGAAACACTAGGTGAAACGCCAGTGTGCACGTGGATCGTTTTCATTCTAAAACGCTGCTTTAAAACTAAAATGTATTAGTATAAATGTGCCCTAAGTCTGGAAGAGGAGCAATGTCATTCTAAAACAAGTTTGAAATGAAAGTGTTCTGGTGTACACGGCACCTCATTCTGTACACTTCTGCAAAGATCTTGCTGTTTCATCTTGTTTGATTTTTGGCTTGCAGGACACGGGCGACACTTTAGGTAGTGTTCTGCGGGGCTTCTTCACCATACGTAAGAAAGAGCCCGGCGGTCGTCTCCCTACATCCTCCACTTGTTTCAACCTTCTCAAGCTGCCCAACTACAGCAAGAAGAGCATCCTCAGAGACAAACTCCGCTACGCCATCAGCATGAACACTGGCTTTGAGCTGTCATAACCCACAAAGCACACCATACATCTACAAACATCAGCGAGGCAGCTGATGGCCACGCAGAGAATGAAGCAGAAGACATTTCATGAACACAGTGTTGCTTCCTCTGCGTTATGGCCTTCAGTTGAAGCTCCTCGAGGAGGAATGTTCCATCAGTGTGTATCGTCTTATCCACACAATGGCAAGCGAACGAACTAGCTTCTCAAAATAGCGAAACGGAATTGAACGGATCTAGTATGACTTTTTGAAAGAAGAGTAGTATTTAGCGCCGTCATGTTCTTCATTTTCAGCATTTGAAGCCAAAAGAGCTCCAAAGGCCTTACACAATCAGTTTTAAACCAGCTTAACGTTGTCGAGTCAGGATCTGATGACTCCCTGATGATCAGAGGCAGGCAAACTCCATCCAAAATACTCCAAACCTAAATCCACCTCGGTCTTTATTGGCTTCTAAGCACTGTGTCTGTTCATCAGTGAACACTCCTCAACCTCCTCTTAAAGCTACAGCGTCCGCGGATGCACTGATGTAGGATCTGCAGAAACAGTTTGGCGTCGTCTCTCAGGTCTCTTGTGTCTCAGTCCCCCAGGAAGGGAACAGGAAAGCAATACTAATGCAATGCAAGCCATGCAACTCAAGACACAAAAAAAGCGATTGCCTGTTTTGATGGCAAATCCTTTCAAATCCCTAAGGCACTACATGTCTGCTGGACTTGAGGACTGAATTGAGAGGAAACCCAGCTCTGTTGATCGACTTCAGCCAAGCAAATTTAGCAGTATGTCAAATGAGATGTCTCTGCACCTCTCCGTTCCTGCTTACTCATCGAATACACACTACAGGGTGCACCTAGAATGCATCACCGGCCTAATATCATTTAGTTTTGCTCATTGTGTTTTATTTGTTATAATTCTCATGCTTTTCAGCTCTCCAAACTAACGCAGACACTGAAATAACCCATTCCTTACGAACAAACAGAGTAACCACTAAAAAGATGTTTACTCCAGCCTGGAGGTAACAGATCAAACTGCTCTCCTTGTCATCACCCACTAACTAATTATTATGGTGTATACTACTGGAATTAAGCCATACAGTGAAAGCGACTAGCTTAGCAGATCTTGTAGAGATTTACTTTTGTTTTTCTTTATGGAGTTGCAGTGATTTTGCTGCAAGGTCATTGGGTTGTTTAAAGCAGGCTAAAAACTAAATCTCCTTCACATGATGTCACTGGATGATTGAAATGACCTTCTGAGTGTGTCACAGGTCAGAGTCTGCTCATTATGCTATTTCTTTCTTTTTCTTGTTTTGCCATTTGAAAAAACTGGTCTGGTCTAAGGCTTTTGGAAATATGTTTTGCAAAAGAAAGCAGAGTCTGTTTTCATGTCAATTAAAATGTTATTTAAAAAACAAAACAAGACAAGAAAATTTAGTAACACTTTATATACCTACACACTATAAATCAGTTAAGCATTAGCAAATAGTTAGTTCATTATCTGTTAAATATTAGCTCTACATTAAAAGATGTTAGTGTTTTAGAAATACAGCTATTAGTGTTGTATTCTTGACTTGTAAGCTAATTTTTAATGTGCTTAGTGATTGTAGTTTCATGCTCTGTTAATGAATAGTTTTCCCTCCTTTATAATGCTTTATTAACTCAACTTCATCCAGTTTTGTAACCTAATCTAAAGTGTGGACTATTTATGCTTTATAAATTCCTTATAAATGACAATTAAAGGCTCAGTTATATTATAAACAGGAAAAAAGAAAATAAACAACATTATTCATTTCTTTTCATTTAAAGATACACAAATGAAACTGTATCGAATGGAAATCTTATCTAAAATAAACTTACTGTACAGTTTAAACTTCCCTAAATAACTTTAAAATGTTGTATCATAATAAATTGATAAATTAATATATTGTTGTTTTATCCAATTTTATTTAATTGTATTTATTTCTAATTGTATTTTGACACTCCTGTTATTCTGCAGTTATTTGTTTTTTTAGACAAGATTGCAAAAATGTATTGTTGCTTTGATATTGAGCCTTTAATTGTCAATTATGAAGGATTTATAAAGCTAAATAGTCCTCACTTTAGATTAGGTCACAAAACTGCATGAAGTTGTGCTAATAAAACATTTATTAACACACAGAGTAAATATTACTGTATGTCTGAATAATAAAATATATAAATAGTGATTTGAATACTTTATTAATTGTTTACTAACTCATTTTGAATTGATCTAAAACCCACCAACTACTCTTAAATACAAATGGTTTTGTAAATAATGCAATACTTAATTCAGTAGTGAACGATTAGTAAGTAAAATTATGAATGCACAATTATTAAGCACATTATAAATGTGCTTATAAGTCAAAAATAGAAACTACACACTATGATCCTTTATTAAGCATTAGCAAATAGTGAATTCATTATTTGTTAAGCATCAACTCTACATTAATAAACGTTAGTAAGCAGGTTTTAGAAACAGCTACAAATGCTCTATTCTTGACTTAGAAGTACATTATATGTACTTAATGATTGTACTTTTATACTTTTAATCATTTCTTTTCATTACTAAATTAAGTATTGCATTATTTACAAACCAGTTAATTAAGAACAGTTGGAGATTTTTTAGAAATGATTCAGATTGAGTTAATAAATTGTTAATAACTATTCAAATTAACAATTGTAATTCTTATTGTTCTGGCATATACTAATATTTACTTTGTATTTTAATGAAAGCTTTATTAAATCAACTTCATCCAGTTTTGTGACCTAATCTAAAATGAAGTCCTCACTTTAGATTAGGTCACAAAACTGGATGATTTATACTTCATAAATCCCTTATGAATGAAAATTATTAAATTCCGGGAAAAAACTGAAAATAAACGACTTTATTAATTTCAGAATATTTGAGGATACTCAAATGAAACTTTCAACTGAAAAATACATCTTTGCAACCCTATATCAAATACAAATTACTGTACAATTTAGACATTGCTAAATAGCATTGAAATGTTGCATCATAGTTTATTGTTAAATTATTATATTATTGTTTTATTAAATTTTTACAGTAATTTTACAGTAGTTTTATTTTTAGATAGGATTGCAAAGATTATTGTTCATTTGATACCAAGTCCTCACTTTAGGTTACATAGTAACCATACATAGTAACCATTACTATACACCTGAATAATAAAATATATAAAAAAAGTTGATTTCAGTAGTTTATTAATCATTTGATAACTCGTTCTGTATTATCTTAAAAACCATCAACTGCTCTTAAATACAAATGGTTTGTAAATAACGCGATACTTAATTTAGCAATGAAAAATTAATCACTCACAAATTATGAAAATACAATCATTAAGTACATTATACATGTGCTTATAAGTCAAGAATACAGCATTTATAACTGTATTTATAAACTGCTTACTAACGTCTATCATTGTAGAGTTCACTAGATGCTAATGCTTAATAAATGATTCAGAGTGTGTAGTTATTATAAAGTGTTACCAAAAATTTTAAATTTGTTATTCTTTTACTAAATCAAAATATTAAATATAGTTGAATGTGAATTATTGATAATACGTGCATGGGAAATAATAACTTGGTTCAGTACATTAGTAGTGTTTGTTGTACTAAATATAAACATATATATATATATATATATATATATATATATATATATATATATATATATATATATATATATATATATATATATATATATAGTAAAACCTATACTCCAATGATGCAGAGCTTTTTAAAGGGATAGTTCACACAAAAATGAAAATGTACTCACTATTTACTCATCTTCAGGTGTTTCCAACCCTTTATGTGTTTCCTTTTTTCTTTGCAAGACAAAAGAAGATGCTTTGAAGAAAGCTGAAAACTGGTAACCATTAACATCCATAGTTGAAAAAGCAAATACTATGGAAGTCAATGGTTACAGATTTTCAGCTTTCATCATAATATCTTCTAACAGAAAAAATAGAAACCAATAAAGGTTTAAAACAAGTCAGTAAACTATGACAGAACTTACTTTTTAAATAATTAATTTATTTAGTTGTAAGGTTATCTTGGCATATCAAACACATCTTGTATTCGTTTTTGCATGTTAATCTTAAACCAGACTTTGTTTTTCTATTTCAAAACATAATTTCGTGTCATTGAATTAATTTTTTTTTTTTTGAGTGAATTATGACGTGCTCATTTCTTCTGCTTCAGTTTCGGGTCTCTAAAAGGCTGTAAATGGCTGTAGTTATTTCATAATATTTATTGTATGCAAACATTTATCCCATCGTATGCAGTATATGCAAACTTATAGTTGAACATTATCCGTCTGCCCCTCTCTCGCTCTACGTTCTCAAGGCATGAAAGTATTTTAAGATGCTTAGAAACCTTTGTAGAGAAATGGCTTTTTTTTTCCTGTATGCATTGCTGTTAATGTTAAGTTATAAACGTAATGTCCTAATGCACAAGGGCTTAGGCTCTGTCCCATAGCAGAGTTTGGTATTTAAATGAACTGACATTAACATGATGTTCCCTTTGAAAGATGTTCAAGTGCTCGTGGATGAGAAACGTGTTTGACATGATGATGTAAATGCAAAAATATTAACGAAAAGAGACTTTATGAACCGTACGGTGAAGCGACTCACCGGGATTTCTTGATGTCACAGAATCTTGCTCTCTTTCTCTCCGATAGGGATGCAGCAACCTTTAAAACTGTCTGGTCTCTATTCATTTTGCCTGATAAAGAAGTGTCTTGAATTTGGTTGCACTACATGAACTGCAGGTTGTTCTATACACAGTATGTTACAAAAGCAATGGCATTGTAAAGTTATCCAAGTGTACAGTAATATTTCCTCTGTAAAATGTCAACTTAATTGTCGGTCAATCATGTTAAACATTTGAATATCCAAATCTTAAAACATTACTAAACAACAGAATGTTTACTGTCATTTATTTTTAGATATTATTTGATTTCTGGTGTTTATTAAAAGAGACTTAACCCAAAAATGAAAATTCTTGCTATGTAATGTAGATAATTTAAATGTTTTGGTCCCCTTTAATTTATATATGTATTTTTTCTCATACTATGGAAGTTAATGTGGACCAGCAACTAAAGTGCATTTATATTTCATGATGGTGATTTTATTTATTTATAGGATATGTGATGTGTGTTGTAAGGACAACATGCTATGAAGCTGTATAACTCAAAGCAAATGTGACAATCACATGTTCACAGTGTCTGCTCCAGGTAAATCTGTTTATATAACTCTCACAGTTCTCTTAAGCTCTTTTGTAACCTATGGTGCCTTTCATTGAGTTTTCCTCCCAGTCTGTGTGTCGATCAGTCCCAGAGGCTGAAGTTACACTCTCCCGTGGTGCACTGCTGGATGCGCTGTGCTGGTATTTGGGGTGTTTTTAAAACCGAAGAACCATGAGCTCCCCGCCAAGCCCTTCTCCAACCAGGTGGTTCAAAGCCCTGCGGAGGTTAGTGTGTTTTATTTTTTTATTGTTTGTTTATTTGTTTATTTATTAATTTATTTTATTTATGCACCCACCTAATTTATTACATAGGACAAAACAAAATATTTAAGTAAATTAGCAAAAAAAAAATTATGTACAAAGCAAGCATAATGCAAATAATTAGTACATTTTCAACTTGTTCAGTGAAAATAAAATTTCAGGTAAAAAAAGGTTAATAAATTTTCAATTGTCATTGTCAAAACCATCTGTTTTTGTAAAAATAAATAAAACAAATATTCTGACCTGTGTTGCTTATTATCTATAACATAATAATAGGTTGTACTAAGTTTTGAATAGTATTTTTTAATTTATATATTTTGTTGAAAAACTAAAGCTGGAGACAAAGAAATTTATTTTAATTAGATTGCTAAAATGTGCTAAAGAAAACTTGCAAGTTTGGGATTTTTATATGTTTGTTTTACATAAATAAATAAATATATATTTTTTCTATGTAAAAATTTACAGATAAAATACAAATATTAAGAAAGGTCATATTTAGAAAATGTAAATATTAGTAAATATATATATATATATATATATATATATATATATATATATATATATATATATATATATATATATATATATATATATATATATATATATATATATATATATATATATTATTAGCTGTTCTTTTTTTTTTTTTTTAGTTTAGTATTATTGACATGGTAACTCGGCTATAATAGCCTCCTCTAATTTGCTTTTTTTTTACTTAAAACATTTGTTTTACTCATTTTAAATATGTTTTAATATTTTTGTAGAATTATTTTTACATTATTTGATTCTTGATCTGAAAAAATGAATGAATGAAGGAAAGAAATACAGTTGCAATCAGAATTATTAACCCCCCTGAATTATTAGCTCCCCTGTTTATTTTTTCCCCAATTTTTGTTTAACAGATTTTTTTAAACACATTTCTGAACATAATAGTTTTAATAACTCATTTTTTAATAACTGATTTTTTTTTTATCTTTGCCATGATGACAGTACATAATATTTTACAAAATATTTTTCAAGACACTTCTATACAGCTTAATAGGACATTTAAAGGCTTAACTAGGTTAATTAGGGTAGGCAGAATATGGTAATTAGGCAAGTTATTGTATAAAGATTGTTTGTTCTTTAGACAATCAAAAAATATATAGCTTAAAGGGGCTAATCATTTTTACCTTAAAACTGTTAAAAAAAATTAAACTGCTTTTATTCCAGCCAAAATAAAACAAATAAGACTTTCTCCAGAAGAAAAAAATATTATCAGACATGCTGTGAAAATGTCCTTGCTCTGTTAAACATCATTTGGGAAATATTAAAAAAAGAAAAAAAATTCAAAGAGGGGCTAATAATTCTGATTGCAACCGTAGATTATTTAAAAGAGCTGAAATCTTTTGTAACACTTTAAATGTCTTTAGTTGATTTCGGTCAATTTAATGCATCCTAGCTGAATAAAGGTTTTCATTTGCTAAACCGTCTTAATGACCTCAGACATAACAGGTTGGGTTGTATTGCAGGTCGAGGGTGGAGGATGTGTGTGTGAAGACTGGAGTATCTGTATGTTCAGAGGTCTTGAGGAGAGCCAGAGCAGCTTTCAGCGCGGGCCGAACAGCCCAGGATACTTTCAGACTGGCTCAGCTCGAGGCTTTGCTGCGCATGCTGATGGACCACGAGTGTGACTTTGTGGATGCTCTTGGAAGGGATGTGCACAAGGTTGGTATTTTTTCCCAATGCAGCCTACTTTAAGTAGTGTGCTAAAGACAGTATTGCTTGCATTTTACACCCAATATTGAGTGATAAAAATAGTTGAGACAAAGATCACAGCAGAGGAGTCATCACCTTTAAATATCTGATTCATTCAAGAATAATAATAATATGGAGACTTGCTATTCTTGAATGAATGAATGCATGATTCAGTGGTTCATTAAGTGTAGTTTCATGTGTGGAAATATTACTTCATATTTTTTGCAGCCTTTTATATTTGTGTGCAAAAAATTTTTTTCGCATAATATTATTTCAAGAGTTAACACTTAGATACGCTTGACGTTAATAGCAGGTTTGGCATGGTGTAACCCTGAGCTCGGAGATAATTGAGCGCAAGGCTCCTGCCTGGTCAGTAAGCATATGAAGATCATGTTGGTCTTGAGAGCTCCCCTTAGAAAAGGGAGGAAAAGGAGGAGATGGGGTAGAAGGGGGGGTTCTTCCAAAATGAAAATTTATTGTAAGCTTGGATCAATCTGATTGGATTATTGCTGATTATGGATAAGAATCCAGCCATGCTCAATCATATCACGTGCTCCTTTCGAAATTAGTACATGAAACTTCACTTATTCAATCATTTTGGTATGGAAATGCATTCCATAAAATCTGAACTTCATTAAACAGTCTTTACATATGCATTGATTCATAGATTCAGCTAATATTAATTTTTTTGAATTCTTTTATTGAAATTAAATGATTTTTTGGGATGTTTCTCACAGCCTCGCTTTGAAACTGTGATGTCAGAGCTGCTGGTAGTCAAAAACGAGGCTCTGCATGCCATTAGCAACTTGAAGAAATGGATGGAGCCTCAACGCATTGAACGTGACTGGGTATGAACTGAGAGACTGAAATAGCAACATATAAGTAAACCTAGATTTGTTATTTGGAATCTTATGTTTTGTGCATGGATTACCAGGTGCCAGAAATATGTTCATTCCCTGAGACACAAAGCTGCACATTGTGTTTTTAAGCTAACCAAAGAAGCTTATGACGAAGACCACAACCAGCATTCCTGTCCCAGCATTAGCAAGCTATTTGTTTTTGCCCTGACAAACATACGCCAAACAGTCCAATAATGATGACTATTAAACCTTCTGATGCCCTTTTTTATGTTGTACATCTTATCTTGTCATCCCTTTCACTGTTCTTAAAGGGACAGTTCACTAATAATGAAAATATACTCACTATTTACTCATCTTTCACTTGCCTTTTTTAATCCATCCATTCATTCGAGAGCACTTAGCTTTGATTAGCTTAGCATAGTATCATTGAATCGGATTGTTAGACAAAAAAATTAGTTTCAATTATCTTCCTATTTAAAATTTGACACTTCTGTAGTGTACGAAGACTGATGTATTCACGTTTATCTGACCTATCACATTGAAAACTCTAGTTATTCGTTCATTCATTCATTTTCTTTTCGGCTTTGTCCCTTTATTATTCAGGGGTCAACACAGCGGAATGAACTGCCAACTTATCCACTATATGTTTTACGTAGCGGATGCCCTTCCAGCTGAACCCAGCACTGGGAAACACCCATACACTCTTGCATTCACACACATACACTATGGCCATTTTAGCTTATTCAATTCACCTATATTTGGACTATGGAGGAAACCGGAGCACCCGGAGGAAACGCGAACATGGTAAGAACATTCAAACTCCATACAGAAAAGCCAACTGACTCGGTTGGCGCTCGATTGTGCTACCCGCTGTGCCACTCTTGAAAACCCTATTTAAAGGCCTTTTTTCATGATCTCAATACAGTAATGTTCCATTTGTTAACATCAGTTGATTTAACTAAAGTTAGTGTAATGTAGTGGTTCTCAATTCCAGTCCTCAGGCCTCCCTTGCTCTGCACATTTTATATCAGTGCAGCCCAAATCACATACGTATGCACTATTCTATGCCATTTTGTAGTATAAATAGTGTAAGTAGTGCATTTACACTCAAAACACTAAAAAGAATAAGTGCACTTCAAATACCTGGATGATGCACCTATTCAACTGTTAAAAAGTGTGGATTGTTGAACACTTCACTACTACTACAGCTACTGCTTTGCTCACACAATTTAAGGGCAGAGCTTTCCTAGTATGGGTAACTGCAGTCTGGAGCAATAGGCGTGGTGAAAGGTAGGGGTGTGGGCCGCGTGGCTAAAGGTTTTTCATTGGTCAAAAGGTTTATATTTATTAATGCTAATTGGCCACATTTAACCGGAAAGAGTACCTTTAACCAATTAAAAACCTTTTGTCACGCCCCTTACTTTCTGGCTCCCCCAACGCTGATTGGCCAGCGCATTTACCAGAAAAGGTACCTTCAACCAATAAAAAACCTTTTGCCATGCACTTTATATTTTGGCCTCTCCTACCTTTTACCACACCCATTTCTCCAGACTGCAGCTACCCCTAACTCGAGCTTTCGGGCACGGATGTTGGAATAGTTTTATTTTGGATTGTGAAAGCAAAATTCTCTTACGAGAGTGATAATTCTGCCTCTCAATGGTGATTACGTTTATACTAATGGCGGGTATTATTTGGAAGTTCGGTCATTTATTTAACCAACGTTAGTTTGGCAACCATCTGACGTCACCAGGGAAACGGTTTGAAATTCCAATTAGTAAAATAAAATTAGTGTACCATTTGGGATGACAATACATAAATACTATTCATATAAGTGCATAAGTTCATAGTGTATAGTGTGCCATTTGGGATGCAGCTGTCTCTATTATGACTCACAAGGATCTCAATAACGAGCGGATCTGAATCAGGAGTGTTAATTAGGAAAGACGTACAAAATATTTATAAAATGTGCATGGCGGGGATGCCCAAGGACCGGACTTAAGAAACACTGGTGCAATGGCGACTACAAAATCATTTGTTAATTTTTGTGATGTAAATTTTGCAGTTGATGCCTAATAACTCATTAAACACAAAAGTCGTAATTAGGGCTACGCCTGCATGGTTGCCTGCATGGTCGCTGGTTCAAATCCCGGCTGTGTCAGTTTCTGCATGGAGTTTGCATGGTCTCCTCATGTTCTTGTGGGTTTTTATTTAGGAGCTCCAGTTTCCCCCACAATCCAAAGACATGCACTATAGGTGAACTGAATAAGCTAAATTGACAATAGTGTATGAGTGTGTGTGAATGAGAAAGTATGTATTGGTGTTTCCCAGTACTGGGTTGTGGCAGGAAAGGCATCCGCTGTGTAAAACATATGCTGGAATAGTTGGCGGTTCATTCCACTATGAATAAATCAGAGACTAAGATGAAGGACAATGAATGAATAAATGAATGAATGAATGAATGAATGAATGAATGAACTTGTATTTTATAAATTAACCGTAACATATAACTATAATAAGCCACCGTGTCGCCACAGCTTAGGTCAATATCATGATAAAAGCTTCAGCAATTAATCACAAGTAAATTCGATACCAGCAGAAGCCTGCTTTCGAGGAGGAAGATTGGACACTTCAGTACTACACAATCAGACATTACTAGCCAATTATGTCAGACAATAATGGCCAAAGACACAAATGTAACGAAGCATTTTGTTAGCATTTTTAGAGTGTTTTCTTAAAGATGTTATTTTCTCTGTTTTCCTTCTGGGAGGTGAATTCTGTGTGCTTTTTCCCCAGGCTACAGCATTTGATGAATGTGTCTTGGTAAATGAGCCCCTGGGTTTAGTATTGATCATTGGGAACTGGACCAGTCCTCTCCAGCTCTGTCTCGTGCCTTTAGTAGGTGCCATTGCAGCTGGTAAGTTTGTGTTCTTACAGATGATGAGAAATCAGTTTACATGGGCTGCATTTGTATATTTCTTGTTTTTTTTTTAGGTAACTGTGCAATTATCAGCCCATCTGAAACCTGCACACATACAGCTGGGCTCCTGCACAGACTCATACCTGCGTATCTGGACAATGTGAGAAAATGACTACATTGAGTGATGTTGGATTGTGTGTGTACTACACCACCTGACTTAAGTCTTGTCGCCTATCAAAGTTTTGGGAACAACAAATAATAACTTGACTTCTAGTTGATCATTTGGTATCAAGTGTCTTATATGAAAGGCATAGCCTCTACATTACACTTATTTCACCAAAATAAAATATGATCATGCCTTGATTTTTAATTATTTAGTTAGGACAATAAGGTCTGACTTTGCTTAGACAAAAGTCTTTGTCATTTAACACAAATACTGTATAGAATAAAAAGTCATAGTGCAGTGGAAAAATAATTAATATTGTCTATAACTCCTATAAGCTTGGAGGACTGCATCCATACATCTCCGCAATGACTCAAATAACTTATTAATAAAGTCATCTGGAACGGCAAAGAAAGCGTTCATGCAGGACTCCCAGAGCTCATCAAGATTCTTTGAATTCATCTTTTATGCCTCCTCCTCCATCTTACCTTAGACATCCTCAATAATGTTCATTTCTGGAGACTGGGCTAGCCAATCCTGGAGCACCTTGACCTTTTTTGCTTCCAGGATCTTTGATGTGGAGGCTGAAGTATGAGAAGTGATGTTTTGTTACCTCAAGCTGTTGATGTTCCCATCCAGTCTGCAGATCTCTTGCATGCCACATACTGAATGTGACCCTAAATCAGGATTTTTCCTTCAGCAAACTTGACTGATTTCTGTGAGAATCTTGGGTCCATATACTTTAGGTTCCAATAGATCTTCTGCAGTATTGGTAATGATTGAGATGCAGTTCAACAGATGATTCCTTGGAAGAATCTACCCCCTGCCACTTTTCCAAATGATCAACTAGAAGTCAAGTTGGTATTTGTTCCTCCTACAAGTGGGATTTACCTGAATTTTGTCAGGTAGTATATATATATATATATATAGTAGTTTTGTACATTCGTTTTACATGTTCTTCATCTTTTAGGAGTGCTTCCACTCTGTTATAGCAGCAGCACATGAAATTCCAGAAATAGTGGATCTTACATTTGATTATGTGTTCTTCTCTGGTAAGTACCAGCTGATTTATTAAGTATTTTCATATTGCAATTTTGTTGAAGATTTTCTTATTGAAAAATTTGACGGTGCTCTTATCTAAGGAATTAAAATTGTTGTAAAGTACAAAACTTTTATTTAAAACTAAACTAAATGTACAATTACTTTTGAGCACATCCTTAAATTAAAATGTGTATTTCTTTAAATAAAGAATGCATGAAAAAAATGAAAACATTTGAACAGTTAAATGTAGATATATATTGAATAATCTCTCTTTTAATATCTAAAGTTTTAAAAGGCTCTTTACTGTCACTTTGGTGACATGTAGCCTTGAACAAAAATATATATTTCTAAAAAAACGGATAAAATGATAATCTGATATAATTTCATAATAATAATAATAATAATAATATTATATAAATATATAATATTGGTGACTGGTGGCTCAGTGGGTAGCATGATCGCCTCACAACAAGAAGGTCACTGGTACGAGCCTTGGCTGGGTCAGTTAGCGTTTCTGTATGAAGTTTGCATGCTCCCCCCGTGTTGATGTGGGTTTCCTCTGGGTGCTCCGGTTTCCCCCAGAGCCCAAAGACATGCGCTATAGGTGAATTGGGTAAGCTAAAATTGGCCGTAGTGTATGAGTGTGAATGAGAGTGTATGGATGTTTCCCAGTGATGGATTGCAGCTGGAAGGGCATCCATTGCGTGAACCTTATGCTGGATAAGTTGGCGGTTCACTCCGCTATGGCCACTCCAGATTAATAAAGGGACTAAGTTTAAGTTATGTTGAAAATAATGTGTATGTATTCAACTAGGGTCTGCTTGTTTTGACACGTTATTTAAAGCATGTGGCTAAGAAAAAAAAATTGTGCTGGGCACTTAAAAAAATAGAAAAAAAAGAATAAAATTCTCACACTTCACAGGGCTCAAACTAAGTGCTGCAGCTTTATGGATTTATGTATTTGTAAGGTTTTTGTGTTAAAAGTCAATTGTACTAACAACTGTTTGCTTTCAGGCGATAAAGAGGACGGGATTAAAGTGGCTCAAGCTGCTGCTCGCACCCTGGCTCGGGTTACGTTGGTGCTGCGCGTTAAAAATCCTTGCTACGTTGACAGTCAGTGTGACATCAACACCACAGCTCGGCGCATTACCTGGGCGCGATTCCACAATGCTGGCCAAAGTGCTGTGGCTCCTGACTACATCCTGTGCCATGCAGAGGTCAAAGAAAACCTCCTGCAGGCTCTGCGCTGCTCACTCCAGCAGTTTTACGGCACTGATCCCCGGGAGTCCCGGAGCTTTGGCAGGATAGTGAATGAGGAGAACTTCAGCAAGGCCAAAGAGCAGCTCTGGGGATCTGGAAAGGTCATCATAGGGGGTCAGGTCAATGAGATAGAGAGATACATTGGTGAGTGGAGGCAGACGATAACTGTGGCAACATTATTTTGATGATCCGCTTTAAACATTTTGTTAACTATGAGTCTAACTTTGAAATTTGATTACAGCTAGAGTAGTATTAGTTAAACTTTTGATTACTGAATAATATCCGCTAACACTTTATTCAGCATACATTATTCTGACTATCAACTTCATAACACAGTCAGGCCCACTTGGACCTGTAAGAAAGATAGATAGATAGATAGATAAATAGATAAATAAATAAATAAATAAAATGTAAAAGTGAATAGTTAAGTGAATACAAATATATATGCTATGAATATTATGATAATATTATAATTATTTAAACAAAACTTTTGTTGTGACAAGGTGGCGCTGTGGGTATCGGTGTCGCTTGGGCAAGAAGGTTACTGGTTTTAGCCTTGGCTTGGACAGTTGCCATTTCTGTGGAGAGTTTGCATGTTCTGTCCTTGTTCGAATGGGTTTTCTTCTTGTGCTCTGGTTTCCCCCACAGTCCAAAGACATGCGCTATAGGTGAATTGGGTAAGCTAAAATTGTCCATAGTGTATGTGTGTGAATGAGTGTGTATGGATGTCTCCAAGTGATGGGTTGCAGCTGGAGGGGCATCCGCTGTGTAAAACATATGCTGGAAAATTTGACGGTTCATTCTACTGTGGCGACCCCAGGTTAATAAGGGACAAAGCTAAAAAAAACAAAAAATGAATGAACAAAACTCATTTAAACTTTTCAAACCCAATTTAATCTAAAAGATTAAAAAATTATTATATTAAAAAAATATTTGAAAATAAACCTTTCCAGTACTTGTAATTCTCAGATTAAAATTGTTATAGATTTTTATTAAACTATGAACTATTTATTTTACGCTAAATAAACTGTAATTATTTTTATTTACAATAGGTAAGTTCTTTAAATACCTTTAAGTATAGAATTTATTTTCCCCTTAAATATTATAATCGTAATATATATGAAAATAATCCAACCATTTTTAATATCCATTGATTTATTAATTTTTAGTGCCATTTTCACCACAACAAAATGTTTTGACCCTTAAAATTGTAAGTAAAAAGAATAATAAGATGAAACAGAACTTAAAATTGGTGGGGAAACAAAATGTAATAAGGATTTTTTCCATTTCCAATTAAACTTCACAAATGCTTAAAATTATTAAGAAAAAAACATAATATTACAGGTATTTTTTCTTTTCCCTAAAATGAAGCACCAACTGTCCTGATGGATGTCATGGAGTCCGATCCGATCATGCACCAGGACGTTTTTGGTCCCATCCTTCCCATACTGACAGTCCAGGATGCAGACGAGGCTGTAGCTTTCATCAACTCCAGAGAGAAACCACTATGTGTTTATGCTTACTCTAGCAACAACAAGGTAAACAACCTCCCCTATAGCTATTTACTGTTTACTCACTAGAAATGTTTATAAAATGATATCTGGGGCTGCACGGTGGCGCAGTGGTCAGCATGATCGCCTCACAGCAAGAAGGTCACTGGTTCGAGCCTCGGCTGGGTCAGTTGGCATTTCTGTGTGGATTTTGCATGTTCTTTCCGTGTTCGCGTGGGTTTCACTTTTATGTGATAAAAGTGAATTAAGTAAGCTAAATTAACCGTAGTGGATGTGTGACCCCAGATTAATAAAGGGATTAAGCCGAAAAGTAAATAAATAAATGAATGAATGAATAAAATGAGATCCTGTATTCTGTTGATCGCAAAAAAGATAAGTTGAAAACCTGTAACCATTGACTTCCATTGTAGAAAAACAAACACTATGGAAGTCAATGGTTACAGGTTTCCAGCTTTCTTCAAAATATTTTCTTTTGTAATCAGCAGAAGACACTTAAACAAGGCGAGTAAATGATTTTTGGGTGAACTGTCCCTTTTAGTTCACAATATGTAGTGCAATGTCACCATCTCATTCATATCCTGTGCAACTAAGGTGATCTCCAAGATAATGAATGAGACATCCAGCGGAAGTTTTTGTTCAAATGACAGCGTCTTACAGAGTGTGATGGTGGGTCTGCCATTCGGAGGAGTTGGTGAGCCACTCTTTGACATCTGATTATAACACAGACAAACACTTTTGGCTATTGAGTCTAACTGTCATAGAAGTAGGCTTTGGTAAACATTCCGATTTTGATTGACAGGTGCCAGTGGGATGGGCTCATATCATGGTCGCTACAGTTTTGATGCATTCTCCCATAAGAAGTCGTGTCTTCTGCGCAGCACTCGGATTGAGTGCATGACAGTCTTGCGTTATCCACCTTATGAGGACCGTAACCTGTCTCTGGTCAGTCTGGCCAGCTTTCTAAATCTGAAGGGTCAAGGTTGGTGCACTATCTTGTAAAAGTGGTTGAGAGCAATTAATGGACTAAATATTAATCTGAAAACATCTCCTATCTCTAAAAACAAGTTGTAAACATTTGTACAAGTTTGTTTTAAAAGATGGGGGATGTTTACTGATTCTGTGCTGTGATGTTGTATTCAGCTTTCTGTAAGCTTCGGTACATCCATAGAGATTGTACTGTATCTTCAGGGACAGTCCTTTTAACAGTGACATGCACATCCATTTATTCATTTAGCATGAGTTATTCCTTCCGAGGAGAAAACTTAATGGGTGCTGCTGGTTATAAAAAATCATGTAAAATTGCAAACATACACCAGCATCATTTTTTTTTAAATCAAATTATATATTTATTAATTGAGGTTAAATTAAGGGACTGTTCACTTAAAAATGACTCTCCCTTCCTTTTTCAAAACCTTTTATAATTTTTTTTTTCTTCTTTTGGACACATCAGAAGATATTTTGAAAAATGCTTGTTGATGGCACCTGTTTTTTTAACTTTTCAGTTTTGGGTGAATTATCTCTTTAAATTGACCAGAACTAAATACATTTTACAGTGTTATAAAGTTCAATATAAAAAGTTCTTAATATGGGTGTTTTCAACATTGGCAATAAAAAATGGTTCTTGAGCCCCAAATCAACATATATTAGAATGATTTCTGAAGAATCGTGTGATATGTTATGATGCTGAAAATTTGTATTCACAAGAATAAATACATTTGTTTGAAAATACATTACATTTCCCCCTATTTTAATGAATAAATAAATGGAGTGAATAGGGGACTAGGCAGATTAAAAAAGTATTTATAAATGTTTGTTATAACTGTTGTAAAATATAGTCCATTTAAAAGCAGATCTGAATTATTTAGACCACAACGTATTACAGAATTCTCATGGGTCATGTAATTTCTGCAATATCATTAATTTTTTTACTTTACTTATATTTTATTTTACATCAAAATGTGTTTTATGTAGTGCTTTTGTTGTTGTTTGTCTATTGAGATGTCTAATCTATTTTTGTCTCTGCCTTTTATTCCTTTCCCACTTGTCAAACGACAATCAACTATATTAAAACAATGACAGTTTACAACATCAAGCAGCACAAGTTGTTTTTTTTTTTTGCTAAAAATAAATAGAAGGGATAGAAGTCCTGAAACATTTAAGTTACAATGGCTGTGCCACTCATACGTCAGACATAAGGTGGATAGGTCATGGAAATTCAGCTTTTTAGTCAGTAAAATCACAGAAAGGTCAGTGAATTTGACATTTGGCTTGAAGTGGGAACCCTTGTATTAATATATTGATCTGATAAAAGAATCATAGTTTTCAGGATAGAGACTATTTTGCCACAGTATTTCCTCCATATAAAATGTACCTTTCTTAACTTAGTTAGTAGTTGTGAACATGAATGTAGTTAGCATAAAGTTTAAATCAGATATTTTCAGCCACTCCATCAAAATGTAATTGATATTTTAATAATTCCACAGGACTATTATCAGTAAAGTATCTAGAACAGACATTGCCTTAATGATTATTGATCCCTAAAGTGTTTGAATACACGTACACAAATGCGCACATATAAATAAACATAAACAAATTGTTCAAATTCAAGTTTGCTGTCTTCGTCCTTTATTCCTGCCTTTTGTAAATGGTTTCTGCATTACCGTCTTTCATTGCAGCATATCTAGCCACTGTGAACAAGTAGTCACTCAATCTGCAGAAAGAAGCAATCTTTTTTTACTGACATGACTTTTATGTATCCTTATACAAACATATGGTTAAAATATGCTCATCATACCTGTTCAGATATTTGGCAACTTCAGGATCTGTCTCACCTGAACGGACAACAGGAGCGACACTGCAATAGATATATTTAATATGAACACAGCTATAAAGTAATGCAAGTCTAATAAATTAATTGTATATATGAATATTCTGTATGCCTGTATGTATGTATATGTGTATGTGTATATATATATATATATATATATTCAACTGACCAGCGTTCAGCTCTTCGGCACACTGCTCTGGCCACATGTAGAGCTGCACTGCTTTTACCGCCAGACTGCAAAATGAACAAGAGATGAAATGGCTTTCTCTCAGTGATTGATTGTGAGGACCATCGTGGAGATTATATAACCATATTTATACAACAGTTCTGTCTGGTTCTCGAATCTGATTGGCTGATAGCAGTGATATATTTAAGTAATATCAGCACCCGTAAAGCCTCTTTACCCTTTGTGTATTACTCCGCTCACATACAGCCAGCAAAAAGCAGACACTACAGATCTAGGGCCCTATCATAAACCCGGCGCAGTGTGGCGCAAGGCGTGACGCAGTAGTCTTTTGGTAGTTTAAGCTTGGTGCAAGAGTCATATTGAGGCGTTGCGCTGTTTAAATAGCAAATGCATTAGCGCTCATTTTTGCGCCCATAGGCGTTCTGGTCTAAAAAGGAAGGCGTTCTGAGGCGGACCGCTGGCGCGTTGCTATTTTGAGAAACTATAATAGATTTTTCATTAGACCAGAACTAACCGGGTCTAAACTCTGGCGCAGAGTTGCGCCTCGCTTACGCACTGCTTAATACACACAAGAGAGCAATAGGCAAATATCTTTACATATGAAAAAATGTAAATATTAAGCATATATATAGGATATAATAAGAATAGATATAGGATATAAATATAAAGGATTAAAATATTACAAAACATATTATTTTCTAGCCTACATAAATATGAAAAACCACTGCTTTTATGTCGTCTTCATCTCGGGAGGCTTTTTCAGTTCATTCATAACAATTGGCTTTTGTATAATGTTATTATTATTAGCAGTATTATTTATTATATCCATATTTATATTTGTTTTATTAAAAACAAGCTTAGATTTGCCCACCTGTCAGGTTTTAGACAATATGGGGCACAGCATGTGTTTTAGGATATAACTCAGGTTTTAGAGCACATTTTGCTATTATTATTCATTTATTCGTTTGCTGGAAATTAGAACTGAATTTAGAAATAGTTTTGAAACGAATATTTGCGCTTAACAAACAAAAGTATTTATTTATAGACTAATTGATGTCTGTGCGTAAAGGTTTCCCTATCCAAGAGCGAAAGTGATTTATTATCTCTCATTCTCACGCAGTAGATGCTCTGTTTAACAGTTTTCTGTTAAAAAACTGTCAACTGTTAACTGTTTGCTTGTGAAATGCTCATTTTTTCCACTTAGACTTACTTTGCGTCCTGTAAATAGCGAATGCGCTCTTGGCGCGACGCAGCTGACTCTTAAAGGGAATGGGAGATGAGACTCTAATTGGTTTATTCTCAAAACACACATATAACTCATTAAGAAAATAAACTCAACCCTTTTAGACCATGCGCCGAAGCGCAAGGCAGATTTCCCATCCTTAATATAGCAAAAACGCATCCTGACACGCCCTGAAAGCATTTGCGCCCTGCGTTTTGCACTTTGCGCATGGACCGTCAAAATAGAGCCCCTAAAGTTTATGCTTGCTCAGCTTTTTAACTGTCAGCTTTTGACTTGAATCCAACGCGGAAGAAAGTAGTTCCTCAAACAAAAGGGTTTTTGAGACTCTCCATGTTTGGTTTTGTTTTTATATACACAAGTATGCCGTCAAACCGTTGTATAAACGCAATATCACACTCGTAGCAGTGCGATATGGCTGTATATCGGCACTGGTGGGGGCACTAAGGCAGTGTGATATTGCTCATTTATACAATGTACTAGGGCTGCACAATATTGGAAAAATCTGACATTGCCAAATTGTGTTGTGCTGCGATATTTATTGCGATTTGAATATAGTCTCACCAAACGATTTGAATAGCTCTATTTGGAAATATTTCATTAATTTAGATCATCTGAGATGATCTAGTCTTTTTCCATGGAGTGCAGAAATCCTAATAAATTCACAAGCAAAATGTAATAAATAAACAGTGCTTTATGATTTTCTGGGGTGTCTAACAGTATTCAAGTACAGAAATTTAATAATCAAATGTAAAATAACATGGTCAACATTGCATAAATAATAATCAAAATACTATATGATAGTATAATAGTATAATACATCTTTAATAAATAATCTAATCCTGCAATAAGACTATTGCAGATACACACATTGCAATATTTTTGCAAAAATGAAATATTCGGGACAATACATACAGGGAGTATGAAGCTGGTGAGCGGCGGAAGCTCCTCTGTGAAGGAATCAATCCACTTCTCCAGTTCAGACACAGACTGAGAGCTGAACTTTGTTTTCGCTGTTTGAAGCAGGAACATCAGAATAAGGCTTATCTTTGCGATTGAAATATTTGCCGTTACATAGAAAACCATCCTGCAGTTCTGCTTACTTATGTGACTCTCTCTTGCTGATGAGCGAGGAGTGGCGATATTGGATCCTACATCCTGAAGTACACACTGGACCTGTATAAAAGAGAGAAGCATATGGACATTTGAGCCATCTTCCACCTTCGTAAAATCTTAATCGTAGAATGGGCTTGAAAATGTAAATTAATTCTGGGCGGAAGGCCTAAAATATTTTTAGATGGCATTTTGTATATAAAACTAAGGTAATAATATTGTAACTTATACTCAGCTTCTAATACAGGCTGACAATTTTGCTTTATATTCCTCAATGTGGTATTTGGATTGCTAGAGAGGTATTCATTTAGTTTTTCCTGTAGGTGTTGTGCCAGTAACAATTGATTTGCATTTACTGAATCACCAAAGACCTCAGTTTCAGCTTTAAACTCTTTAATGTTCATCTAAAGAAAGAAGTCAGTAACACTTTCGTTTAATTACCAGTTCTTGCTATTTATTAGTGGCTTATTTACCTGCCTGTTATTACAATACTGGTTGTTTATTATTAGTAGTACATATTCTTCACAATTCTATTCTACATCCCTGATCCCACCCACTACCTAATCCCAACTACTTCATTAATAACTATTAATAAGCACCAAAATGGAAGTTTATTTAGCTAAAAGTAATAGCTCATGTTTTTTAATAGCGAGAGTAGTAGTGTGACCAAAAAGACCCTTACATGAGTGAGTAAATTAACAACAAATTTACACTGTGTTGGGGTGAACTATCCCTTTAAAAGTAACTGTGAGGCAAACCTTCTCCAGCTGATCTGTGAATGAATGGCCGCTGTCAATGCAAAATTCTCGTGCTAACCTGAAAGACACAGAGTCATTTTATTGGTGGAAATCTACTGCATTCATCATTTTAGACCTAAAAGTCATTTGTCCAGCACATTGCGCTTCATTAACTCTATCTATTACCCTATTGCTGATGATAATTCATCTGTTGTTCCCAAAGCATCAAATATATGATCCTCCTTGGGTCTCCTCTCACCTGTGAAGGTACTGGAGAAACCTAATGAGGCGAGACAATGGAAGCAAGCCAATGTTTACACAAACCCGGATGGGACTTTCAATTTGACATGCAACTGCAGCAGCATCACATATTTAGTAAACATAATGTTGATCGTTTAAACTACAATATGAGCTGTCAAGACAAAATATGCTTATAATATGAACGTAAATAACCTTTATCCCCAGTTTTAGTGTATATCTTGGGAATTCTTCTGTTTTCCTCTGATGTACTGCTGGCATATCTTGGGAAAGTAAGAGAATGCCTTTAATATGCATACTATTTAAAACAATGCACTGTCGTTTTTGGCTATATTGGGCTAAAACACATGGTATGTGGTCTTCAGATAGTTTTAAAAACGGGTTTACCTTCCTCTATCCCCACACACACGCATCTGCTTTATGTTCATACATGTCCCTAAGCGAAGGACACGGTGAAGACTTGTGGACCTGGTAACGAGAGATGACATTTTAACACGCTAAAACATTTTCAATCGCGCTTCCTGTGTTTACGATTCACACATTTGACTCCTTATGCTGCCCGTAGACGGGCGTTCTATCACGCAACCAAATGACGCGAGGTGGTTCGAAACGCGATTGGTGTTTCCAGAGTCGGTGACCATGAGAGCTTCCTCCTGATTGGCGTTTGTAGAGTCAATGATATAAGACATCAAACCTGATTGGTTTAGACTACAGAGGCGATTCACGTGTATGTCAGTGGACAATCCGAAGCGATGCGTTTGTGTGTAACGATTTCTCGGTTATTTAGCTAAACTTTATACTCTAATGTATGTTGGTGAATGAATGAATGTAAAATTTTAGTAAGATAATATCGCTGTTGTCAGAATACACTTGTACATCTTCCTGGAAAAGCAGAAGCTGTAATATTCAGGATGCAAAGCAGAGAGTTGTTCGTTTCAGCACCTGGGAAAGTAATTCTCCACGGCGAGCATTCTGTCGTGCATGGGAAGGTAAGTGTCTGTTTTGTTATTAGAGACATAATAATGTACGAGTCTAACTGATGTGTTATAAATTTAGAAATGTCATTGGTTTAGAACAGGGGTGTCCAGACTCGGTCCTGGATGACCGGTGTCCTGCATATTTTAGTTCCAACCCCATTTAAACACACCTAAACCAGCTAATCAAGCTCTTTCTTGATAACGTTATACTAGAAACTTTCAGGCAGGTGTGCTAAACTATGCAGGACACCGCCCCCCCAAGACCGAGTTTGGACACCCCTGGTTTAGAAGAAGCTCTGCACACAGATGCAAGGCAAGTTGTATTGTCTTGTAAAAATAAATTCTCATTTAATGCTTTCCATTTATTCAAAGAAGTGTTGGAAATGTTGGAATTATTATTTGAGCAAGCTGTTGCATTCAATATTTAATAAAACTAGCTTTAAATGTCAGAGAAACTGATACTATTTTGTGTCTGTGTGTTTAATTATTTGTTTATTTTGCTTTATTAGGTTCATCTTAGGTCAGACAATAAAATATGCATAATATTGGTACATATATGGGACATTCTACCAAACATGTACATTATCTGTCGCTGAAACAAAAGTATAAATACAGTGAATAAAAAGTATTTCATCACAGAAATGTCTAAAATGGACTGATGGTTGATTTCTGTAAGTTGTTTTGTAGAGGAATATGTCATTCATTTGGCTCTCAGATGTTTTTTCTTTATTAAAAACACTACAAATGTACAAACCCTGTCACTGTCCTTGTCTTCAGCCCGATTTAACCTACAGCTTTAATAGTTTTGTGAAGCTAAAAACGTGTTAGAAGGGAAAAAAAGCTTCTGAAATAGCAAGTTTAAGTTGTTATCAATCACATCACTTGATTAAAATTATAAATACACTTTACAAATAAAGGCTGCAAAAATATAATATATAATAATACAAATAATTTTACAGTTGTCCACACGTTTCTGCTAGTACTGTCACATTTGCATTAAATATAACATAAAATAAGTGGAATACACTATACGCTATGACTCAGAAGTGACATTATTTGATGGAGAAGTTAACAATGATCAAGGATGCCTTCTATCATTGAATTGTATGATTCTATGCTTGTTTTGGTAAACTTAATTATACACTAAATTAGTAAATAATTAATGAGGTAAAATACCACATATATACACAAAAATATACACACACAAGATAACATAAAAATAAGAATAATAACAAACAAAACAAAAGGAAAAATCCATTTAATTTTTTTAGAAAAGGGCATCAGTTTTTCTGGACTGTTCTGGCTTTTGTTTTATTGCAAACCGAATCTTTCCCATTCTGAGAGCATGTAGGAAATCAAAAACCCATTGTCGATAAGAAGGTGGGGAAATGTGTTTTATTTTGAGGGATAATGATGGTTATGGTCAAAGGTGAGGGGGCAATTCAGGTCTGCTATGTCAAAATACCGTTAAATCTATTTAATTTTTCCTGTTCTTCATCAATGTTAAACAGGTTGCCTTGGCTGTGAGTGTGAATCTGCGCACATACCTGCGGCTGCAGTCCACGTCATCTGGTCAAGTGTGCATCAACCTCCCCAATATTGACACTTTTCTGTCCTGGGAAATAACTGCACTGCAGCCTCTACTTGCTGGCTCTAAAGGTGAGAGGAGATATGTATTAGTTTTTATTAAAATGATAGCAAAATTGAAAATTGTTATTTACTCCTATGTTCCACATCTCAATTTTGGATGAACAGTTTATTAAGGATACAAAAATGCATTTTTGAAAAAAGCAATAATCTCTAGCACACGTTTCTTTGTTTCAGCTGAGCAGAGGGACCCCAAGGAACTTGATGCAGATCTTTTAAAGAAACTCAGAGAATTCACTGGCATTTCAGATGATTCCACAGACACAAGGAGCATGGCAGTGTTGGCTTTTCTCTACATGTACATCACTGTTTTTGCAGAGTAAGAAACCTTTGTTTCTTTGCATCATTTATTAAGACCGCAGCTATTCAAAACCTTCATGTAATGCAAATAATTAATTTCGTATACTATTATTTTATGGGTTCTTTGATTTTAATTACTACTGTATATGAAATGTGCTATATAAGTGAACTTGCCTTGCTATGCCTTCTTGAGGATATTTTTCCCCCCAGGTCTTTGGCCAGTATCACAGTGTCTGTGTGGTCAGAGTTGCCCACAGGAGCTGGTTTAGGCTCCAGTGCTGCCTATAATGTTTGTCTGTCTGCTGCATTGCTGTCTGCTAGAGGAAACATATCACCTCTGCTTATGGCTCAGCAGGAGTCTGCCAGGTAACGCTTCATTTTGGGGCTTTTATGTAGATATTGAAACCAGCGCAACAATCCCTAACTTGATTTACTTTTAACTCTTTAAATCAGGGGTCACCAATCTCTGTCCTGTTATTTATTGTTATTTATTATAGTAAGAGTCTTTTTGACATACCCTGTAGTCTTTTGTTTAGCAGATTTAAAATTCCAAATCCTTCATCTTGCAATGGAATTATTCAGCAAGTTTATGTAAATGTATGGTGAAAAATATACATTTTTCAGGGGGAAAAGATTAAAAAGGGATAAGATTTAGCTGAATGATTCTGAATGTGGTTATTCCTTTTTTTTTCCTCAATAAAATAATTGTTGATGATGATAATAATAATAAATAGTTAATATTAATAATATTACAATAGTTATTATAAGTTATTACAATTTTAATTAACTATTTCCAGTTTCATTATATTTTAAATTGAATTTACTGTGAATTTAGCAACCAATAGTTAATATTTAATATTTTATATTGATATTGGGGTGGCGCAGGGGGTAGCGACTCACCGCAAGAAGCAAAGACATGCACTCTAGGTGAATTGGGTAAGCTAAATTGTCCGTAATGTATGTGTTTGAAAGAGAATGTATGTGTGTTTCCCAGTGATGGGTTGCAGCTGGAAGGGCATCCGCTGCATAAAACATATGCTGGATAAGTTGGCGGTCCACTCTGCTGTGGCGACCCCTGATAAGCCGAAAAGAAAATGAATGAATGAATAATGATATTTACAATTCTTTGATAGATAGGAAGTTCAAATGAACAGCGTTTACTAAACATCTATGATGGTGATTATAAGTATTATTTAAAAACGATCTGTTATCTATTGAGGTTATTCATTTTTTTTCTGTTTGTGTTGCAGGTGGAGTAAGGATGAGATGGAGCTGATTAACAGGTGGGCGTTCATGGGTGAGAAGATCATTCATGGTAACCCTTCAGGGGTGGACAATGCTGTGGGCACATGGGGTAAGACTCTTAGGGTGCTTTCACACCTACACTTTTGTTTCGGAACGTATCTCGTTTGCCCAGTTAGCGCGGTTCGATTGGCATATGTGAACAGGGCAATCGCGCTCTGTTCCGCGCCAAAGTAATCGCTCCGAGATCGCTTGAGTGAGGTGGTCTCGGCTCGATTGAAACGAACCCTGGAGCGGTTCGATTGCAGTGACAAAGCGATCCGATCCGAGCGCGGTTATATCACAGTATTTTATGGATATGTAATAGGCTTACGGCTATATGGAGAGAGAATTATGAGTAGGGCGGGAAGTTTCGCGAGTCTCCGGATGCCCGCAAACGAGTGATGATCTCCCGGTAATCTTGCGTCTCTCTCCCAGTCCTCAAATAGGCCTTCTCACCCCTCCCCACCGCATTTCTCCTCAGACACGTCACGCGCGCACCCTGTCAATCACCACCAAACCACCACCTCTCCTGACAGCTGAGCAGGACACTGCAAAATAAACCCTGACACTCTGACCAATGTAAGGAGAGTTTACTCGCACGCGACTTGTTTTAGCTCTTTTGGTCCGATTAGAAACTTTGCCGTGTGAAAGCGAACCGCTCCAAGAGCAAAGAGCAACAATGTAACAATTTTAATCTCTGTTTCGGAACAACTGAATCGATTCACAGGTGTGAAAGCACCCTTAACCTGTGCTAAAAAATTATTAGTCCGTACAACAAAAAAGACTTTCAGATATTTTAGGTCAGTGCCACTGATGTTTTCAAAAGTTGATTAGATGTCAGCGCCAATGTTGTAGTGATTAGTGCGTGGACACATGGTACTCCAGTGTTCACGGCGACCCGATTTCGAGTTCTGCCTCAAAGGTTAAAGTCTAGATCGGATATGCAGCCGGCCGGAAGTGCGATATGCACATTAATATAGCAGCATTTTTATTTATGAAACTGTATAACAATAATTTCTATTTTTACAGTACTGTGACGGTTGGGTTTAGGGTTGGGGTGGGAGTAGGCATTAAAAAATACAATTTATTGGGTAATTTAACAGAGAACATAAATGATACTCGGTACAACTACATTTTTAACATTATTATGACGGTTAGGTTTAGGGTTGGGGGGGGGTAGATGTTAATAAAATACAATAAATCTGAAATTTAATAAATAATATAAATAGTTTACATAAACTTTCAGCCGCAACCGTATCTGAGCTAGCAACAACCGCCTCAAAGTCCTATATCGATCCTTTCCCTCTCTCCTCTCCCCACGCTTTCCTGTCTGTACTCTCTGT